CATTAAGTACCCCTGCTTGCCGCGTGGGAGGGACGGCACGTTGGCTTTGGCGACGAGCCTTATTCTAAACCCAGCCCTCTGCCGTGTATTATGAAAGAACAGCAAAAACCTGGCGGTTGAATTAAAACCCTCCTTAATACCCGCGGGCGTATACATATTTCATTGAAGTACTCTGCATCTGCAGCAGCTCATGATCCAATAGATTGCGTCTTGTAGCTTATCTTACAATACCCGGGCTGGAGCCGTAGAATTACGTGTGAACAGAGGCGAAAAAATTTAAACAGTGAACCCGTGTCTAAATAGCTGACCAGAGGTCGTACGTCTACAGTACATTTTGCGATGAGCAGATCTAAATCCCTATGAGGCGCATCCGGCACCATTGTTTTCGGAGCTCGGCCAATAAATCACGAAGCTCCTAAAGAGGCATGTTTATACCCAATCATGATGATACAATTCAAATGTACGAATAAGCTTGCAAGATCTGGATGTCTTGATTTGGCTGCAATTATCGCCAACAACTAATGTCGATACTGATCCTGAGCACAGTAGCGTGGACGACCGGTGGTGAATGTACTTAGCTTCACATTCATAAAAATAATCCAGCATATATACAAGTAAACAGGTAGTCAGATGATTAAATTAAATGTAACTCTACACATCTGAATACCAAATGCAGCGTTTCACAAAGTATTGCTCAAAACAGAGATATCAGAATTAGGTTCTGGCTGAACAATACCAATCCGATGTAACCTTTGAGATGACTGGCACCTAACTGCGAGTTCGCGGCACAGGCATTGATTCTCACGTCCGCCTCAGATGTACAGCCCTCGGACTCTGCAACTACACTCAACTGGAAATGTTTCAAATGCAACCCAGGATGAGTTCAGAATGTAAGATTGCTCTTCCACTTGGAAAACGCAGTAGCTGACAATTAAAGCTACAAATCCGCAATACTTATTTACCCCTAGATACATCTCTCGTGAACGATCTGAGTATTGCATTGTGCTCTGTAGCAGTGACGATGGCTGTACAGGGCGCACCAACTTATTACACAGTGTATGATCATCCATCGAATTCTGGTCCCGGGCACTGACGAAACCGTTTACAGTGGTCTGCAGATTCCAATGCTGGAGTCAACTCAGCTAAAGGTGGGCATCTAAATAACTCGAAGTCGGAACACTGCACAATGGTGACTTCCGCCGGGATCAGTGGCCTTGTCAATGTGGTAGGGGTTGGTTCGTCCTGGCCCCGGAGCCGCATGATGGAATATCACATCAGATATGCTCAAGCCTTCGTCTTTCTCTTCGACGTCTGTTCCCAAGAGACTTTCAAGGGTGCTCAAACGATGCATGATGCCTTGATTCATTCGGCTCAGGTCCTAGGTGTGACTACTGAGGCTGCCGCGCCTCTCTTGATACTGGTTGGCAATGTCGAAAATGATGTCCATCTTGCGAAACGAGACCACTCGCATCACCGAGAGGTACGACAGGATGAAGCCCGGGTGCTGGCAGATTGTTGGAATTGTGAGTATTTGGAGGTCGATACTTCAGATGCAGTTGCGGCCGTTGATGCGCTTGTTCACATTTCTGCACAAACGATCAAGAGCTCGTTGAAGGATCATGAGCCAGGAATATTGGCAATCTCCAACCGCGAGCCTCCTCGAAAGTTACGCTTACGGCGATATCTAGACAGTCTGGGGCTTGGTGCCTTCATCAAGAGTCACAGCAAGTAATATCTATGGTTCAAGCCGAACGATCATTCGAGAAACGTGGTTTTCAACTATAGCGTGGTGTTCACATTAATTACAACATCCAACGTTTGCAAGCTGAGCCTTGTTCTTATATCACGTATATCTTCCTTCGCCAGGATAATAGAAGTCACTTCGGCAAGAGGCAGTAAGCTTATCAATAAGGGATTACCACCTTCGTAGTAGTGGATAGGGCTACCCGAATAAACAGAACGATCGGGGCCTCAACATGTCTCATAACCCTCGCTCGACATTCAGTACCTAGATCTACTCTTGAGGAACTACAAGAGTCACCCTGGTGGAGAAGTACTCTCATCAAAGCATGCAGTGCACTCAGAAGAGAGTTGATCGTCCTACCCAAGGTCCCACCATATCCACCTCAATACGACATACACGCAGTAGCACAAGATCTGTCACCTTTGTGCGCAGACCTCGACCATCTTCGCGTCGAACAGCATTTTCACTTACGCATTGTGGTATCTCAAGCAAGGGGTGCCGCGCATGACACCCATCTGCCGAATCGGTAGTCCGTACCCTCCCCCGGCCACGCGTTCCCCACGACTCGGCTCCGCGCCCTCACTGGCTCACGACAACGGTGTGCCGAGCCGGGGTCAACATTTCCCTGCCGGGCGACAGCAATGAAAACCTATAATAGTAATACCAGGTAACCTTTCATCACATATACTCCATTGTGCATTGTCGGTGAAGTCTTTCTCCTACCGATTACCTGGACATAGGCCGCGTCATGCACTCCAGAGGCGAAGGGGTTACGGCCACCGACCTCGCGTCTGTGTAGCCCTTCACCGCCGCAATGCACGAAGGCGCGGCGGTCACGGCAGTGCTTAAGCGATGCTGCCATCACCCGCGGCATCCGAGACAATTGATAGACCTCGCGTGGGGAGTCGACTATCGACTCGGCAAAGCTGTGCGTCCCTCGTCTCTGAAGCCCGTGAAAATGTCTGCGTGTGCTCTTGCAAGAGAGACTACTGGCCGCTGCAACGGCGCCGCCGTTAAGGCCGTTAGGATGCAAGGACCTTTGAGGCTCTCGGCTACGTATGCCGTGCACCCCCTCCTTGGGGATCTCAGAACTGCTTTGCAAGTCGCCGAAGTACTGTACATACTCACATATACACATACATACATGCTCCTTCGTTCCTGACAACGGCCTGATCCAGACCCCATTGCGAGAGCGACAGGAGCAGATGGCTTGAACCGGTGGTCCACCACCCTGCGTTATCGCGAGCGGGGTGCTCCTCGTCTCCGAAGCTTCGAGACCCAATAGACCATCCTTCAGAGTTCCCCTTTCAACCTGTCTGTCTGATCTCTCTTGAGAGAGATTGGTCAGTCCAACAGTATCCGCCATTGACTCAGCGATGGAGACATCTTGCGCCCCACCAAGCTGCTAGGTTTGGTCGAGTTGTCAACCCTGTAATACGACCGGATGTGGTGTTCTTTGATGGCACTGTGTGTTTTACTTTCACAGATGAATCGAACGGTCGCCCTCAGAGACCCACAGCACCTGTATCATGGTCTGCAGCCTTTCTGGGCAGTCCTTGTCTGTGAAACGGCAGTTGGGATGCTTGCGAGGTAACCGCAGTGTTGTCATATGATACGCACCGGGAACATGAGTTTTAGGATTATTAGATGACGATTCATCGGAAACAAAAATAAACAGACTAAATGCCATGTCTTTCCAGAGTAATTGCTTGCAACTGTGTCATTGATCTACTACAATGCTGTCTACTTCGTTACTGAGCAATGCGGGGTACCCTGGGCCAATGTGGCAGTGACGTTGAGCAGCCATGGATAACCTCACTCAAAGCCAACTTCATCTAGAAAGATGACTGATCTTGCAGATTGCCCAGTTAGTATGGGCAAATACTGAAATCATATCAATCACCGGAGCCTTGTCGGAGCAGTCATCGATCTTGTTCCGGAAGGTGATAACTAGTGACGAGGCTTAGACGAAGAAGGTGGCGGCCATGCATGCATATCCGCCTCATCTATCACGTACGTCGCAAGGCTCTGGGTGAATCGCAAGACATATCAGTACATCCGCGCAGCACCGCGCCCCTAGCACCTCCAGATTCCCATATTTTGAGATATGAGAAACGTGACAATTATCACCTGTCATGAGCGACAAAGGGTATGACGCCTACGCCCATGAGCGAGGCATGTCTTACCACAGCCGGTCAAACCAGCGCGACCGAGATTCAGACAGCGCTTCACTCACTGACTCCGATTCCGACTTGGAGGCAGGCCGCAGCCGCCGACCGCGCCGCGCACGGGGGAACAGTCGTGCCATCGTGAAAAGGGAGCCGTATCACGTCGTTGCAGCACCGCCACGGGCATATCATCCGGCAGACTCGGACGAAAGCATTGAGCAGGTCTACGGCGACCGGGAGAGAAGGAGACTCCCCGAGCAGGAGCGGAGTGGCAGAAGAGATGCCGGTCTCCTCGTCGCCGTCGCAATGACAGCGGCAGCCTTTGTGCTTTGCCTAACTGAGTGCTGCGACTGATGGCAGAAGGACGAACGCGCCAATGCGCCTGTTATTGATTAATTTCGTAAGTGAGATTCAGCAGAATATCAGTGCGTCGCGTTAATAAAACGGGTTGGCATGCATCAAGCTAACACCATTCCAAAGTTTATCTCTTTCCGCGGAAGAAGCGGAATCACCACCAAGGGATAAGGTTTGGGCGATCTCGGGGTGGGTATATACGGTTGTCTCAGCTTCTGATAACCAACGACTAATGGAAACGCTGACATGTGGAGTTGGGTTGGAATTGATTGATCACGCCGGAGCTTTTGAGCCTGAGGAAGAGGACAGGACAACTTTCTAGTGATGAGCTTTACACATTTCTCAAGTGACGTTATTCTTATGCACAAAGCGGCAATCACAGACATGCAGACCTCGTTCGGCCCCATTACGGCCAATATGTTCACAGTGTTTGAGATCGCCCAAGCTGCTTCATGAGGCGGTTTGTGAGGTATCCTCTTTATCTAAGCTACATGCAAAGCAAGGTCCTTTTAACGCCAAGTCTTTGAGCCGCGGATCTCCTGCCCTCAAGGACAGCATGCCAAACGCCACCTGAATTTTTCGCATCCTCTGCGGAATCCATCTGCTGCACTATAGTATACAGACTTAACAATCATTTCGTTCACCGTTGGCGATTCTCCGGTTGAGCTTCCAGAGCTGAGGTAGTAGCTAGGTTATTGCGCATAATCAGGCTCGAGATAACCTAGAGTAAGGCATCAAATCGATGCCGGACCTGAATCACGCTTCCATCCTTTGGCACGCATGTTATTCTCGATTGCCTTCCAGATGCTTTCCATCACCTCTCTGTCTCTCCAACGGCTGGTGTCAGCACCTGGAGCGTTGGGATCTCTCCACCTGTCAAGTTGGCAGGACAGAACTCGGTGTCCCCATGAGCGCACGGCATCCGGTGGCTGATCTCCTCTCCATCCGACATAGATACCCATTGTGTGCTTAAACAACTCGTTCGCGTTGCTCCATTTGTAGTTCTTGAATTGCCAAGTCTGGCCAGTTGTGAAGACAGCTACCACTCGATTCCAGTAGTCAGGTTTGAACTGTTCCGGACCCTCCACCAAAATAAAGCGCATAGGTCGCGTTTGATCAATGTCCTTCACGATACGCGTAATGGCCAACATGTTAGCGTTGGACAGACTGCCGTCCGGAGGTATATAGCGTCCACCTTCCAAAAATGACTTGATGTTCGAGAGGCGCAGCAGCGACGAGGCAGAGGGCGACAGGAGAATGATAGGCTCCGGTCGCCTGTTCTTCTGGTGCGATGCCAGAGCTGGGTTATTCGATATGCTGCTGGACGACGGATGTTGGGGCTTCTTGACCATGAACAGCGCTGCCTGCTTACGGTACTCGCTGAAGTTCTGTGTCGAATTAGCTCAGTCTGAAAGAGAAGCTCTTGGGAGGCAATGTACAATAGGCTTAGTGCCGCGCAACACTGTATTCCGATCACCCATCTTCCTTTCGCCATTGTAAATCACCGCCAGTCTCGGGTCCAACGTGCCCCTTCCGGAGCGCGCTGCGGCTGTGACGGGCGCAGACGCTCCCTTAAGAGCAACGGCAGCTGCCGCGCCAGCAGCGCCAGCCTCCTTCTCGCCGGCAAGCGGTTTGATGTATTCACTCTCTTCGCTAGCACCCTCGAGCCATGTGATAAGATCTAGTCGCTCGACGAAAGCGAGCTTGTGAATCTTGTCGCCACCACCAAGTTCCTCGTTGAGCGTCGTCGCAGAGTTATTGTACTCTGGAATGGCAACCTCTCGATTTAGCCAAGCAAAGTATATACTGCGTAGGTCAACGGCAACGTCATTAGTGATGAATCTGGTCGGCACATCGATTGGGACGGCAATGCGGGTCGGGTCGGTGAACTGCAGATGTGTCGCCTGAGACAGCGTCGCCTCTTCTGCGGAACTGGAGACATCTGCAGAGGTGGTGGGGATAATGCTCCTTCCCGACGCGATCGACTGCCGCAGTAGTAGCAAGGGATCGTGCTCGACCGTCGCCATTCTAGCAGGCGTCAAGGGAAACGAGCAGTTGCGGGAGTAGGTGTGCTTTCGATGGCCGAAGATTGGAGACGGTCACGATGCGAAGAGCTGAGGTGCGCAAGGCTGAGAAAAGGTAGGGGGGTGGGGACCCACATTGGCTGTTTTTAAGGCTCTGATTGGGAGATGACCCCAGCCAAATAATGGGTATCGCCTTGTGCAAGATGGTGTAAGTGGAATGAGTTACATGTCGAGTGCAAAGCGATGCTTTTTCAATTGATCATAATTATTTCAGATTTATTTAAAAGGTTACGGTCTTCTTTCCAAATTTTTATTTTTTTTCAAGCCGTCTCCAAACTATCGCCTTCATGCATTACCGGCTTACCAACGTTGTTTGATGGCAGACTTTTCCCGGTACCTCTTCCATGATACTAAGAATTTGCGTTAGAAATAGGTGTTGTGATCTTTTAGAACGGTAATTAAACTTACAACACAGACGCCTTTTCCTTTTGTCTTATGCTTTGGATTCGCTGGACACATTGGACTGCTGGGTAAATGCTCAGGAATATCGAAGTCGAAGCTGGAAGAATCCATAACAGGGGATCGTTTCTTTGAGCCTTTTGACGTGCCTCGAATTTTTCGGTCTGAGGATGTGCTCGATGTTACCTGACTCGAAGGGCCAGTCGGAACTTCAGGTCTATTATTGGTTGGGTTGAGTTCAACCATAGAGCGCAATAATTTGTCAGAGTAGTCATCTCCAATAGGAGGAGTATCAACTTTGAATGCTTCCTGTTCCATAATTAGTTCCGAAAGTGCAAACGTTTCAGAAAGATGGTGCCAACATACACCAGCGGGATATGAAGTGGATGATCTAAAAGGTATCGGGACTACATATTGTTAGCGGTCAAGGTTTAGTTGAAACCATGTCAAATATACCGTACCTGCGGGGCGAGGAAGGTCTGGTATCTTCGGGGGTGTATCGCCTTGTAGCATGTGCCTCACAGACATCGTGACAGAGTCAACGCTGGATCTCTTCCTGTGCCATGGAGCTTTACCAAAAAATTTAAGCCCATGCTTCACCTTCGCCCGATGGTCTTCAATCGAAGGTGGGGGTCGTGTGATAGGTATCTGCGTGAAGTAGCTATTGATCACATCGGGAGGCTCTTCAACATGATGTCTTATGATGGATTCTTGCCGCGTTGCCTATTTCCCAGCGTCAGTCCAAACTTGTCGCTTCCAAGAAAGTCGAGTAGCATACGGATTTTCTTTTACTTTCCTTTGACGATCTGTCTCGCGGGTTGCTCGTTACGTTCAAGCGGGTCTCGGTCGGTGCCAATAATGTCTCGCTCATGGTGGCGGGAATTTGTTCCCTTGAGGAGCCTGATCCTGAGGTCCATATTGTGGAGTCATCGCCATGAACAAGTCTTCTTGTCAAAGGGTGTTGCAGGGAGTGCACATGCGCGGATTCAGTCAAGTACGGGCTCTGCGGAATTGAATCTCCTCTGACTGCCTGGGTCTTTGGGGACATGGGACTTGTTTCCCTCGGTGGCCCATTATTCAAGCTCTTGTGGTTGTTAGACTGTCTTTGGCTCCTTGTAGATCCTGTCCTCCATTTCCAAATATTCGATGCTCTGGTAATGTTGCGATCGCAGATTTCTCTCTCAGCCCAGTAGCCTGCAGGGAACTATACCCACTCATAACCTGGCTTTGCAGGGCGAGGAGGATCGATTGCATTCGGAGTTCGAGGAGATCCAGGCGAGTTGAGCAGCTGATCTCGAGGCGTTCCGGTCGGCGAATCCGTTATGTCGGACAAGGCCTTGCTCCGTATGCGTCTCGCCATCCCACGATTTGGAATAACGAGTTCGAGATGGTCTTGCGACAATTACGATGCTCTTGACCTATATGCTATCAATCAGCTACGGTAGACGTACGATAGGCTCACTAAATAATTGAAATGTAGATAATAATAAGGAAAATCTCGCTCTCACTTGTTCCAGCATACAAATACTGAGTGCAGAATGGGCAACGTTCGAGTTCAAGGCCATGGCAAGCTGTGTGGCTAGTCAGGCGTTCCCGTACTTCGATGTGCTAACGAGTCGCACAAATGATGATATATGAAGAAAACCCGATGAGGTATAGGTAGGCGCGACGTGCCAAAGCTACCTTACTAGAATACTGAAAACGTTCGCTTAGGACGGGATTTGAGGGAATATCAGATGAGAATAGATGAAAGGGGATTCCAGAAGCAAGTCAAAAAAGAGATGGTACATCCCAGTGGCCTCGGAAATCAAAACCAGCAGCATTCACAATGGGGCATCGCTCCTTCCTGTCACTGACAACTCAGCCTTCGAGATCCATGTCAAAACAGTGCCAACTTCCCCAAATCACATATAAATCCTTCTTCAATCAACACAAGGTGTGATTGCCATTCGGCAAAAAGAGCTTGACGATTTACTTTTTCATCTCTAAAGACTTCACAAGCCCGAGCGCCAAAACCTCTAATTCATAGGTAACAGTAATCAGTATCGGAGCCTTGAAATGGGAGCTCGATCTATTACATCGTGAATTCGTTATCTTCAACATGTGACGCCTGATAGTCGCTCATCATCGGCGCTTCTATATACAAAGAGGACACTGTCCATCAACTGCTCTCTCCTTCCTACTGACATCGACACTCGACGGAGTCAAAGTCTCGTCTGTCAACTGACATGTGCTCTCACGTGCTATTGTTGTTCAGATAGATGACTCAGGAGTCAACCTGCATTGTATCATCTCCGTCAAACGTAGCAGCGGGTGGCTCTAAGGGAACACCTCTGCCACGTCCAGCAAGCAACTCGCGCCTAATCTCCGGGCCAATTGCCGAATGACCATGCGTCAAGAGTAGATCCAGCAGTGCCTCTCGTTGGTCCTCTGTAATATCGTTTCTATACCTCGAGGCAAAGCTTAGAAGACACTGATGCCATATGACCGGCAGCCTGTGAGCCATCGCACCCTCTGATAAGCCTGCCATAGCATCCTCATCCTTTATTGATGCCGGGTCCATGGCTCGGAATCTGAGGAAGTGGAAGACCAGCGAATCAACAACCTGGAATGGCAATGCGTATCGTTTGTCGAGGAGCGTCTTGATGAAGACATTGCAGGCGCCGCCGCCTTCCGTGCCCAGGGATGCTTGTTGGGCCGCGATGTCGCAGAGTCCCTTCAGGCCTGCAGCCGAATGCAGCACAGGGATAGAAACACGAGCCAGCACAGAGGATATGATATGTGCTTCGCGCAACGTGCAGGTACCCGACCCAACTAAAGGAAATAGAAAGCCCTTGAAAAACGCAGCGGGCTTGTACAGTGACTTCTTCAGTGAATTGTACAGATGCACGTTCAGTTTCTTTGTCTCGTAAATATCGTCCCTCACGCGATCCAAGATCACCATCTCGAGGAATCTTTGAATAACTCCGGCCTTGGAAGATACGAAAATTCGTGTTAGCGCATAGCAAGCATTTGGCGTCCACTCCCTACAGTCGCATTGTTAGTATGTATTGCTCTACCCGAGCTAGAAACCAGGGCTGTAACGTACTCAGGTTTCGTGACCTCGAGTATCCTCTCCCAATTGGGAATGCTCGGAAGAATTTTGATGGGTTTCGGAAGAGGCCCGGACCTCCAGCGGCTCAGTATCATGCCGACCTTCTCGTAGACCTCGATGACCTTAGGCGGTAGTTCCTCCTCAATGTACTCGTCCGGCGCCTGAACGTCTCGTCTGGGTCCTGACGAGGACTCAAATGCAGCAATTTTCGCTAGAATGATGTCTGCCAGATTTGCGCCGCCAGCACCTCCCGATGGCTCCTCTTCACCAGACGGGCCGTCCCAGCCATGTTTTAGCAGGTCGTCCTCGTCGCTCGGGTTCGGCAGGAACTTGTTGAATGTGTCCAGATCATCTGGGGCAATCTCAATCTCCTCCACAACATCGTCTTCATCGCCCCATGCCTCGTCGTTGTCATCATCAAACACCTCGTGCTCCTCGTCTTCAAAATCAAATCTCGAGTCAAAGGCGCTCGGTGCTGGCTCGGTGACGGGGTTTTCTAGGCGATCCTCCTCAATGAGCTCCCGCCCTATCCTCAAAATCTTTCTTGACGCTTTTGAGTCGACGAAGTTCTCCTCAGCTTCTTCCTTTGAACGAGACTTGCGCTTCGGCGCCTTGTTTCGCAGAGTGCCTGTGCCTCCTAGAATGTCTGCTTCTAGGGGGTTGTGGCGTCGGCGATCCGCCGCATTGGGGGTCGTTGCCTTTGGCATGATGACAGCGCCAGACACTCAGAAAATGATTGGAATATGGTGCTTCTTCTCGAGGTTGTGACGCAGGCGAAAATGTTGTTACTCTTGGGGCGGTCAGTGCTACCCCACGACAATTTTTCGACTGGGCACTTGCAGTTGAGGGACATTTTTTTTTTTCTGCCCGATAAAGATGCTGCGGGATCGGCTTTGATTGGCTGATATCCTAGATAAGGCGGAAAAATCATGGACCGACTTCCTATCGCGCTTATCATTGCCCCTCCATCACTCGAAACTTCGATTGCGAGGCTTTTGCCCCACCAAAGAGGTTCAAATACAACAGCCACTTACAGCTCATTCATTGAGACTCTTCTGAAGTCACACATCAGAGGTCTTTTCACAATGCCTACAGAGCTGGAAGAGGTGAGCGTGCTATGCAACATTTTAGACGTCCATCTGATACATTTTACAGCTTGTAGGCTTCATCGCCCACCCTAACCCTCAGATACGACAAATTGCTGTTGAGCACCTGGTTCCATACTCAATTGCGCAGCCATCCATATTCAAAACCGAACAACAGCTGCCGATCCGGAACCTCAAGCTTCTGATCCGAGATGAACCTGTAAGTACACCAGTTGCGCAAAGAGGCTCTTCACAAACGGGAGTACTAATGCTCTCTAGAAAATCGCCGAGCATGTCATTACAATGCTGGTAAACCTCTCGGGGGATAGCGAGGTCCTAGCAAACTTAGTCAAGGATGAGAAATTTCTCGATGCCGTCTTTGCTCATATCATAGTACGTTAGGCCCAATGCATTTCTCTGTGTCAGATTGTGTACTGCGGAGGCTAGTGGTACTAATTCAAGCGCAGTACCCCGAGGAGCCCAATGCAAACCTATACGCCATGTTATTGGCGAACCTGGCCAAGTCCGATGCGCTCAAGTCTGTCATGGACCGAAAGCAAACTGCGCCCGAAACACTGGGCTCAGACAATCGTGTAATTAACCAGCTGTTGGATCTCTTTGTCAAGGGTTCAGATGGCTCTTTCAACAAGAACGCCGACTTTGACTACCTGGCCTACGTTTTCGCTGATTTGGCCAAACACCCAGAGGTCCGGCAATACTTCGTTCAGAAACAAGAGTATGACGGGGTTGTCCCTATCACGAAATTGAAGGTCTTCACGGAGCACAAGTCAGACGTGAGGAGAAAAGGAGTAGCGAGCACCATCAAAAACGTCGCCTTCGATGTTCCCTCCCACCCGCTGTTCCTGTCTGAAGATGACATCAACATTCTTCCATACATCCTGCTACCGATTACCGGCAACGAGGAGTATGATGTGGATGATACAATGTCGATGCTGCCAGATCTACAGTTACTGCCGCCCGACAAGCAGCGAGACAAGGATCATAACATCATTCAAACGCACGTCGAGACGCTAACTCTCTTGACAAGCACACGCGAGGGCCGAGAGTTAATGCGGGAGATCAAAGTCTACCCGATCGTTCGCGAGACCCATCTCCGGGTCGACGATGAGGGCGTCAGGGAAGCCTGCGAGAGGTTAGTGCAGGTGCTAATGAGAGACGAAGAGGATGACGGCAACGCAGCACGTGTGATAGAAGAAGACGAGGACGACCAGATAGTAGAAATATGATGGACACCATTGGTCACCGAAGCAAATTTGATCACCGGGCGTCGGCCTAATCACCCTTCTCGAGACCCATCCACCCTAAGCCATGCAGGACGGCAGGCTAGAAGCGGGAAAGAAGCTGCAGCAGCCCTGGATCCATCCGTACAATATGTCAAGGCATGCGGCTTCTCCAAGTACCCTTCATTTGGGGCAGACAGGGGACTCCGATTGGGCGACAGCCGCATTGGGAAGGGTGCCTGATGTATTATCATTTCTATAGAGGCATGTAATACCACCATGGCAGAAGCATCTTCTTATATCAGCTCTTGAATCAATGTCACGACGAGATTACATTGTCCAGGCTCCATTCACTTGTCATTGCCAAGTCTGGGCTATCCGCAGCGAGAAAAGAGGCGCCCAACGCGAGCTCATGTTCTCACCACTGGGTCATCAACCAAACGTGGCGAATCTGAAACCCATTTCGAATGCTTGTCTTTTTGCGCTGAATCGATGAGATCGATTGCGGATATGCGGCAAAGCGCCAGGATCAGCTAAGGCAAGAGAGTCGGACGGCCCCCCACCCCGTGGCGACTTGAAGCAGAAGTACCAGCGGGATTCTTCCCATTCTAGACCCGAATGTTCGCAGGTTTGGGATCTTTAGCTGCTCTGAGACGTGGCCTAAAACTGTCTCGGTCGTTCTGCTAGTTTTTCTCTTAAATATCAGCATGAAAAGCTCTGTCTTGGCGTTTAGTTGTGTGGTGGTAGGCATCGGTGCGATCGATCCAACCTGAGCCACTGGGAGCTCAGACCCGGCAATCTCGGGACCCTCGTGAGGGATTCCGTAATTTTGGTTGGTCGGTGAGCGGAAAGGGACGTCTGGCCAGGAAGTGGCCTGTTGGCCTGCAATGCCCGCATCCATACACCTGCGGGCGAACGCCGCACGCAACGTGCTGCTGGCCGCCGACAGTCAGTTCCAACGACTGAGTGATAAGACCGTTTCTAATCTGGCATTTGGATGAGCGGACGTCTCACTTGAATGCCGTCGCGTCATCCTGGGCATTGTCGGCGGCTCCTCAGCCCAAAAAGCTTCTCTCTGCTTGGCGCGTCTGTCAAGCATCCGGGGCCGTCCTGGGCATCGCTTGGCGAGCCTGGGCACGATCTCGAGATGTCGAGAGGCATGGGTATTCACAGTCTCCGAAATGGACGGCTTCGTCGCCAAGCATTTCGTGACGGGGGGCCCGCAGGTAGACTGCATGCGCCGTATTCGACCTGAGGACGGAGATTGAGAGTCGTGGCGTGCAAAGGCATGTCGTTGTGTGAAGGCACGCGTCTAAAACGACTGGCGAATCAGAGACGACTGTTCCAAAACGTGGTCGCCTGGCCAGTGCCGATTCGTGGGGTAGGGACCCCTGCGGACCCCTGCGGGCGCCCCCTGGCTGGCCGAAAGAGGCACTCATGGCGCCCCCACCCCACTGGCATCCGTCCCTCTAGCACATCTTAGCTCCCACCATCACCATCGTCCTGGGGCGCCGCAAGATGGGCAAAGCATAACGTTAACGAGAGCGCGGCGGAACTCTGTGATCTAGCCTTTTCCTCAGCCAAGCCAGCCCAGTCGATTTCTCACGCATCGGATTGACTGTCTGATGACATGAGAGCGTGGATCGGTGCTAGTCTCATAGTAGGTGAATTGGCTACTTCGCAGTTGCCGAGTTTTACAGGCTCGCGTGCCAATGGGCCAATGGCTCTCCCCATGTGCTGCACTAATGGAGAAAAGAGTAAGCTGGCGAAATCTGCCTGTCTTATTCCCGCTTGCTGGCTTGCTATGGAACAAGCGCATGTGGAGGGCACGCACCGTACCACGGAAAGGCGATGTATCGCTGTTCCTGAAAACAGGTGCAATGGAGGAGGAGCGCATTTCAAGGTTGGTGTCCGTCATGAGATGCCATCTCCGATTGGCTGGCGTGCAGGAGGTTGCAAATCTTCATGTGTCCATGTCTTCAGTCCCTAATGAACATGTTCAGTCGAGGAAGGGCTCTCTGGCTGATAGGGTGGATAGATGGATTGGATGTGTGTGCTGATTATGCCTCGCAAGACAGGGAAGGAGCCAGTCAGAAGGCGCAGCTGCCGTTTCTCTGGAGCGGGAAGGCTTCTAGACGGCGGCGTTGCTTCGTTCTTTCATCCTAAAGCTTGACCGAACGGTGGATCTGGCTGAAGAGTCCAATATACCTTCCCACGCTTCCTTGCCTACCACACTCAATAATAATAATGGAAGGTACCTAACCTTAGTCTCATCAAATCAACCTGGAACCTAAGGCAAGGCAAACAAAAGCCCATCCAGCCAGTGGCGCGCTTTCCATCTCTTCAGTCTAGGAAAGATGGATCACCGAGCTCCATGTTCGTCAAAAACTCGAACGATCCACGCACACTACTGACACACACTACACATAACACACTAGCCAGCTAGCGACCCTAATGCACGTATGCTACACACGCATGTACGTACTCCATCTCGACGACTAACGTTGATGTATCTCGGTCTATGGATCTAGGATTTTTTTGGGATGCGCCGGGGTCCTTCGAGCCAGGTAGCCAGGGAGCCAGGGTAGCTTTCGTACCATTCCCATCCTATCCCATCCCATCCACCCATCCATCCATGGCATGGATCCCTGCCCCTAGCCGGTAACTCGCTCCAGTCCCAGGGTTCTGCTTCTTGCTCGTGCTACCTACGGTACGGCATCGCCTATCTATCTTACCCTCCTCCTCCTCCTCCTCCTCGGCCGCATTCTTAAATAGATTGCGGTCCGCCCTCACTATTGCCGTTTTCTCTCTTCTCTCCTCAGCTCGGTCTCCCCTTCAAAAAGGTTGTCTCTTCAGCAGCCCTGAGCCCATAGAAAGACACTTGGTCCTGGGTCACTTCTATTCTCCTCCCAGTTGATATCGTTGCCTGTATAACTACCACCCATACCAACCAAGCCTCTCGACGGCAGCAATCATGTCTTCCGAGGAGCCCGTCCCCGTTTCTGCCGGCCCGGCAAGAAAGACGCATGGCGGCAATGCTGCCTACCACAACTTCCACAACGATTTCGTTCACATTCAGGATCCCAATGAGCGAAGACGGCTTGCTCTCGCCGAGATCGACAAGGCGCCCTTTGGTTGGTACCATGTGAGAGCCATTGTTGTCGCTGGTGTCGGTTTCTTCACCGATTCCTACGATATCTTCGTCGCCTCTCTGCTTACCACCATGTTGGGAATTGTCTACTACCCTGGCGAGGGCAAGATGCCCACCACCTCTGATACCGCCATCAAGCTGGCCACCTCGGCCGGAACCGTCATTGGTCAACTCGGCTTCGGCGCTCTCGCCGATATTGTCGGACGCAAGCGGATGTATGGCCTTGAGCTTATCGTCATCATCTTTGCGACTCTGGCACAGGCTCTCAGCTCCGGTTCTCCTTCCATGGATGTCATTGGCGTCATCATCTTCTGGCGTGTTGTCATGGTGAGTTACCCCACACGAAAATCAATAAAACTTGGCGCTAATAGTGTTGTAGGGTGTCGGTATCGGTGGTGACTACCCTCTGTCTTCTATCATCACTTCAGAGTTCGCGACCACCAAGTGGAGAGGTGCCATGATGGGATCCGTCTTCGCCATGCAGGGTCTCGGCCAGCTCTGCGCTGCTTTCGTAATGCTCTTCGTCACCCTTGGCTTCAAGGGCTCACTGGAAACCTCCACCAAGCTGGCTAACTGCACCGGTGTCTGCGCCATCGCTGTTGACAAGATGTGGAGGACCCTGATCGGCTTCGGTGCCGTTCCCGGTTGCATTGCCCTCTACTACCGCCTCACCATCCCCGAGACTCCCCGCTACACCTTCGATGTCAGGCGCGATGTTGAGAAGGCCGACGCTGATGCTAAGGCCTATATCAGCGGCAAGCACGGAGAGGCTCAAACCGATGATCTTGCTCGTATTGCCGCCCAGAAGAACGCTACTGAGCAGATGCGTGTCCCAAAGGCCAGCTTCGGTGACTTCATGCGCCACTACCGCATCCCCAAGAACGGCATGCTTCTGGCTGGAACTGCCCTCTCGTGGTGCTTCCTTGACATTGCCTACTATGGTCTCTCTTTGAACAACGCAACCATCCTACAGGCTATTGGATATTCGACTTCTGGTGCCAAGAATACCTACGAGATTCTGTACAACACCGCCGTTGGTAACTTGATTATCGTCTTGGCGGGTGCCGTTCCTGGTTATGTATGTACATCCTTGAGAATGAAAGAACTCGAAACTAATTATTCATTAATAGTGGGTCACTGTCGCCACGGTCGACACAATCGGCCGCAAGCCCATCCAGCTCGCTGGCTTTGCCATCCTCACCATTCTCTTCATCGTCATGGGCTTCGCCTACTGGCACCTGTCTCCCAACGCCCTGCTAGCCGTCTACGTCCTGGCCCAGTTCTTCTTCAACTTTGGACCCAATTCGACGACGTTCATCGTGCCCGGAGAGTGTTTCCCGACACGCTACCGTTCCACGTCTCACGGTATTTCTGCTGCCTCCGGCAAGATCGGCTCCATCATCGGCCAGGGCGCCATCGCTCCCCTGCGCACACGAGGTGCCGTCAAGGGTGGCAACGCCAACCCCTGGCTGGACCACGTCCTTGAGATCTACGCTCTTTTCATGCTGCTCGGCTGCTTCTCTACCCTGCTCATCAAGGAGACCAAGAGAAAGACCCTCGAGGAGCTTTCTGGTGACGATGATTACGCTGCGGGCGAGGCTCCCATCGCCATCGATAATGGCAGTGGCGAGAGCGGCGTGGTCGAGAAGAGGGGCCCCGACTCCGTTTAGGGAGTAGGGAAAAGAAACAATTCGCTAGATTGTGTCTGTCTGGATAGAGTTCAAAACATCCTGTAATTGGGCCGAGTTTTGTGGCATAGCTTTGGGCCGTACAGTTGTGTGTCATTGGGGAGATACCCTCATTCAAATAAAATTGGCTTTGAATTAATAAAGAGCATATCTTCACATATTGGCCACTTCTTGCAAAATATGAGGTTCATTTGACTCAGATGCTTGAAGCACTTAACCGCCCTTCACAAAATATCTGTCGTGCCTGTGATGAGCATATTCTATATGAATAGTCCCAATTGCTAGTTCACAGTGATATCCACCTTAGTCTTGTCTAATATATCCATACCGTCAGTATATGCCTGGCAATCGCAACCGCAAGCCACTTACAGAAGGCGACGTAGTCCTTGATGTTCTGTGCCTTGTCCTTGGGCGTGGGATAGAACCACGCCGCGTTCTTCAGCTCCTTGCCTGTTACCGCTCAGGTCAATGACCCCATCCAACCCGGCGAGTTTGCAGAGGGGGAGTGAGGAGAACTCACCGTTGACGCCGATGGTGTAGTAACTCGCGTCGCCCTTCCAAGAGCACGTCGTGTGCAGGTCCGTCTCGGTGAGATACTCAGACTTCACTGCAGATGGCGGGAAGTAGACATTGCCCTCGACCTCCTCCCACTGGTCCGTCTCGGCGATGACGGTGCCGTCGACGGTTGCTTTGGCGTGTCCGCTGACCATTGTGGTTACTTACTGTTCGTGATTCACCAAGTGATAAATTCAATATTTCGTGTGTATGAAGAGTATCTTCGATGACCCTGAGTTGTCTAAAACGAATAAGTTATTGGTTTCGTCGTTCAAGGCTTTCCGGTGGTCTTGCGTCATTCAATGGATTAATCAGCTCGGGATGTTCTCCGCGTCTTCAGTTGATTCCAAATCGGTAGCCCCAAAAGCCACCATGCCTCTCTTTTTGCGGGGAAGGTCTAGACTCCTCACTTACACAAACTACTCAGAGGAACGAAACAATGTTCTGTAGTTTTACTCTCACAACCAACTTTGTTTTATTTCATAAAAAACTGACAACCAAAAATTGGCGCATGTGAACCATCATCTCTTTGATTCAATCACTTTAAGACCCAGTATTGAAAAGTTGCTTCACCTGGTAAGTTGAAGCGATGAAGCTGCTGCATGATGCTCTGGATCCTGTCTCAGTGTACTTGAATGAATGAAGAGATTCACAGCAAGGTTCTCGAATCTGCAGCTTTGCCCCAGATGAAGACTTACTTGTTGGGATTCGGCTCAGACCGCATGCTCTTTCGAATTCTAAGGAGGTAGACAATTTCTAGGACTTTTCTTTGATAAACGGCTCGGAAACTCCAGAGTACCGGACTTAGACCCGTGCAGCAAGCCAACACTTGAAATGCGTGAAATCTACGCTTATGAATGACGATGTAACTATACGATCTTGGAAAACTATATAGTGGTAGCTTGTAACTTAGGAGCGTTTATAGGATCATCGAGCAGGTATGAGCAGATTTCCCCTCACAAGGCTTTGGCAGCGAGATTGATCGGATCCTGCAGGCTTGGCAATACCAAGATCTGGGGTTTCATGAGCTTGGCGACATTGAGAATAGACGGCGCGTAGATGGCTGAAATGCTTAGGCAATAATATGTGCTATTATTTCAAAGAGAATTGAGAAGGGCAGTAGCCAGTACGGTGCTATCAATAACAACAACACCCTCTATGTTGGCCTGCTGACGATGCACCTCATTCCCACCATAAGCCCTTCCGTTGTTCCTATTCCAGAGTGAATATATTTCGGGACGGGAAGATGTGCCCTCGTGATCAGTTGATGAGTGATACCAAGAGGGGATGGTCAGATCTGTGATCTGGTCGGTGAGTGAGAAAGAGCCCCGATCACAGACAAGAAAAGATATAAGACGTGCGCACTTCCCCTTGTCGGCTCGCGTTCTCGAGTGAGCTTGAAGCAATAAGAAATATATTTGAAGCTGAATATATCAAGCCTGAGAGACATGCGTTTCCACAACTACAACCAAGCACCCAGCTGGGCTACCCCAATCTATCTCGCCTACTTGTTCTTGTCAGTGGTCTCTGTTGCAGCTAAGACAATCGCTCGCAATGAGACAGAATTCAACAAGCAGAGGACGTTGTCTGTCGGCATTGTTGGTCAAACCCTTGTCTACAAAATTCGGAAACAGAACACTTTCTGAGCTGAGATACTATCAGGTTGTATTCCCAGGCTTTGAGCCGCTTGACGTATTTGGGCCTCTGGAGATGTTCTTCTCAGTAAGTTAGGTGTCTAGTTACAGGCCGTGATTTTCTGCGCATATTATCACTGGAGAGAAAACGGAAGAATGGTACAGAGAGATACTACATCATATATAAAAGGGTATCGAGGAGAGAGAAACAAGCTGCTAACCCTTGCAAAACACAGCTCTCGTACGCCCACAAGATGACACTCGCCGTCATCGCCCACGAAATCGGACCAGTCTCGTCCGGCGGTCCACCACACCGCATGAGCGAGGACGGTCCTCCCATGGATCTAGGCTACCTGATGCAGCCCACCGTCATGGCAACGCACACGTTCCGCAATGCGCCGGCACTCGACGTGCTGCTCATCCCTGGCGGCATCGGAAACGTTGCGCTCGCGCAGGCCAACGACACGTCCGTCGAAGACTTTGTCCGCCTGCGCTTCGATCAGGTCGACTACCTCCTGAGCGTTTGCACGGGCGCCATGAGCTTGGCAAAGGCGGGCGTGCTGGACGGCCGCAGGGCGACGACCAACAAGAGCGCCTGGGCGTCGGTGGTGGGAAGCGGGACGAACGTGACGTGGGTGCCGTCGGCGAGATGGGTCCAGGATGGAAAGATCTGGACGAGCTCTGGGGTTAGTTCAGGTAAGGCGTTCCCTCTAACATCAGACACGTGTATGTGTGTAAACAGAAAAAGGGGGAGGGAGGGAGAGGAGTGGTGAGAGTAGTTTGCGTACACCAATCTTGCTGATGGACACTCACTAGGCATGGACATGGCATACGCCTTTCTCGCCCATTTGTACGGCTCGGACGACCAGGGCCTCTTCAACACCATGAATGGAATCGAGTATGCGCCGCACACGGATCCACACTGGGACCCCTTTTCCGTCGTATATAAGGTGAGTTTGCGCTACCGCTTTGGCATTGACCTTCTTTCTGAGAAGGCTCGGTGTTAAACACATTAGGGAGTTGAATTATTGTAGACTGACGCTTCCATTCTTAGATTCCCGGCGCGGACATGAACCGGAGTCTTGAAGACTGTGTGAAGCCTGTTGGGTTCTGACCGTGACCACTGTAAGTATCACCTGTCAGGATGGGCCAGGTTAAGTTATGATCTTGGCATGGCATGGCAAGTGAATGATTTGTAGGTTGGAAGGATGAGTCTGCTGTTTAAAGGAGCAAAACCCTAGCCAGGCAATTGGAAGCTCTTCCGTCCTCTGCCATGTCTTGCTTTGAACTGCTCTAGACGTGCCCTCAGATGTGACCACATGTAAACGCCGAACGCGATAGGTTCGCTTCTCCTTGGATAGTAGGCACGACGACATCCTCAAGCTAGAATAATAAGGATATATTGAGCCAAACATACACTATGATATAGAATTCTCATAACTGGGGGCAGTCTCAATGCTAATGCTAACGCTAAAAAAGGAAAATGACCCCATCTAAAAAGAACGCCTGGGTGGGTATTGTTTCGTGTGCGGCTGTAAGCGCACTCACATGCAAAATGCACATCGCGTATACTTCGTGTGAATCTCTCTCATCCTCATCCTCATGCAAATGCATATGCAACCAAACCACCCCTCCCACAAGTTTTTACAGGTCGATGATTTCCACCTCAGAGAAGTCGGGAGGCGACCGACCATAGACCGCCCGGACCTTGCTGTCCAGCGCAGTGCCCTCGTTGCTGATCCATATGTAGTCGCTAAACTCCTTCGTCCTCATGATCTCGTCATCGCTGACGCCGAGGTCATCACGCGGGATCCAGATCACAGGCCGTCTCGACCGCAGGGCCGAGTGAGTGAAGGCCTTTCTGACGAGCACGTCTCTCTCCTCAGGAGTGAGATCCTCAATCTCGTCAGCGTATCCGCCATACAAAGCCTCGCCAATAGCTCGCTGTGCCTCGAGATCCTTCTGTCGCTGCTGGCGCCGGTATACGGCGGCCGTCTTCAAATTCTGTTCTGCTTTGCCAAACGTTGCATGTCGTACGGTGTTGCCGCCACGAACAGCCCAATGACCTGCAGTTCTGACTCCCTTCGTCAATCGGCCAAGGCCACGATTAGTGCCTTGCCGACCCTGCTGCTTGAGATCTTTCAATTCGATCTCGGCGGCCTCATCGGAGCTCCCTTGTGCTGTCAGCGTTGTGGCTTCATCGTCATCGGGAATTAGGCCAAGACGTCTGTCCTGAGCACGCTGGAAAGCTTCATCGCGCAGTACTGCCTCGTCCTCGAAGGTGATTGGCAAATATCTGAAAAGCGGACCGAAGGACATATTGAGTAAAATCTGATACAGAATAGTGCCAAGCAGGACCACGACCATGATGATACCCTGAGCGCGGCAGGCGACCGAATTGTCGTCATCTCGAACCAGGAAGAATAGTCCGATGAGACAGAGCTCCATGACATAAACGCCAGTGAATGTCTGATTGATAGCACGCGGATACAGAACGCCACCAGTGTCAGATTTGAAGCGGGTGACGTATAGCATGCTGTAACGATGCGCAATCCACAAAAGACTGAATGTAATGATGGCGAACAGGCAAATAAGCGGTGCGACGACTGAGTAGATCAGAGCGATACAGGCAAAGTTGGTGTACACCGGGAAGAACGAGCCCCATTTGACGTCTGGAAGCTTAACCTGCCTCGAAAACTTGCTTCTTGCTGTATTGTCCAAGATTCGCGCCAGAATGTACCAGCCAACCAGAGCGCCAATCTGCATCAGAGTACCTGAGCTCACAGAAAGAGCTTGTAGAATCATGTAGGAGAAGAAGTAGTTGGCAGCCTTGGGCAAGTTCTCTGCCAGTGTTTCCGGGACACTCTGGATATTGTTGGTGATGGCTTCTAAGGTCTGTGTAGCGCTGGATGCAATAGAGACGACCAAGAACACCTGAACAAATAGGAAGAAGAAATAGTAGACTTGTACACGCTCCGTCTGCTGAGACCCAGTCTTCGCGCCCTGCATCTTGGCGATCAAATTGAGTATGATCGGTACCAGGAACAAGAGGAGAGCGAGAATTGCGGCAGGTAAGACACCAGCTACTGCCTTGACGGCCTTGTACACAATGTCATTGCGCTTAAGGAACCCTAGCCAAGAAAATTTGGCAATGAGTGCATCGATCTGGGACAATGTGGCTGAGAACGATACTGGGAAGGCCCAAAGGATAACCATACCGAAAACGATAGCCGTGCCGAGAAGAGTTCTTGCCCACTCGTCCCACCATTTCATAGCCATGTTGTCCCAGATGACATCGTCGGGTGAGATTTCGACGATGCGAGGTGCCATGTGCTTCGGAATATGGTGTGTGACGCTCTGGCATGCCATATGAGCTGCCACTTGGTGATTGAACTGAACAAAGGCCGAGTTCATAATCGGGAATCTTTCAGGATGATTCTGGTCTTCTTCGATTTCCATATTCAGCCGTGCTAGCTCGCCCCGACACCAATAGATCGTATCGACCTTCTTGCTGACCAAGGGTAGACCAAATGGCAGCGCGTCAAACAAGGGCAAACGATGGTGAGGGCGATCTTTCTCTTTCAGCCACTTCTCCCAGGCTGCGCCGCCTTCCCGCTCTTCCTTATAATCGGGATTGATAGCCGATGGGTACTCGATAGGCTCTTCCTCTTCACCCATGAACGGGAGCTTGGACTTGATCTTTTGCCAAGTCGTCCTGTCATCCTTCTTGGTTAGAGGGAACTCATTCCCCTCGACACCTTGGGGAACGGGGGACGCATAGCCGCCGGATGGAGGCTTCCAGAATTCCCACCACTTAGTCTCTTCGCTGACATACATCTCGTCCAGATTGCTAAGCTTTCGAGTAGTATTGAGATATTGCTTGGGGTGAAGCTCCTGCTGCATCGAATCTTTGTAGTTCTCCCTGGACGCGCCGGATGCGTTATGAGCGTGGTTGCTCCTCGTCGCGTCGGAGGCAAAGGAGACCTTTGGCTTCTCACCATCGTCCTCTACCCTCTGCACTCGTCTGCGATCGGAGCCACTAGTGTCAGGAACAGTACCAGCAGTGCCGGGGCGATCGTTGCTTGGGATATGCTCAAAGCCACCCTTCCTCTCAAGCTCATTGTCCACGCCGTGACCAATGTTCTTCGCCCCGCCAAGAATGCCTTGGCCGGCATCACCAAAGATACCAACGCCTTTCTTCAGACCTTGTCCGACCTTGAGAAGTCCACCGCCAATTACGGGGACCTTAGTCAGTCCGCTCTGCTGTGGCTCGTCTGGGCTCTCAGCATCATAGTGGGTCTGGACAGTCTCGACATCGTTTGCCGCGTCGCCGGCGCGATGGGGCACTTCTTCGTGATCTCCACTGCTGACACCATTACCGGCCTCGGCTCGGCGCTTGGCCTCGAAGTCTTCTGCCTTTTGCCTTTGCTCCTTCTCGGCCTTGGTGACTTGCTTCATCTTGAGTTGTTTACGCTGCTTCTTCTCCTGCTCCTCTCGCTTCTTGACTTCCCGTCGCTTAGCTTCACGAACAAGTTCCGTCTCGGCAGACTCAAGCTTCTTGGCGACCTTATCGCGTGTCTTGATCTTCGCCAGCAGTGGAGTGAAATCTCGTGTAAGCCAGATATTTCTAATACCCCCGGGGAACACGTCGAACAATCCACGTAAGGCTTCCTCCGTGAGCCACTTTTCCGGTATGGAGCTGACCAGGACGGTGTTTGCAGACGCTCGCAAACGATGCTCTGCACTGGTGAGGAAATCCTGGCGAACCTTGATGTAGACTCGTAGCTCAGCGAATGATATGTAACATACCCAGAACACGACCCCCACGGCAAGGATGAGGTGTGCCCAGTAACGATGAGTTTGTGTAGGCTTGACATTGCCCCAAGCTAGTGTGTCCAGCCCTGTAGGGATACTTTGATCGGTACCATTCGTGATGTTTTGGACAACTGATTGGCCCTTCCCTCCGACAAAGTTGATTGGAATAAGAACTGGTATGAGGACCGCTGCCATAGGAATGAATATGACCAAGAGGGTCTTGAGGTAGCGTAGGAAGAAATAGGCATCAAGCCCACACTTCTTGATAACATCGCGGTCCTCATAATGGAATAGATTGGCGACCAGCCCCCAGGGGCTAACAGGTGGCGGATCTGTTCGTTCGCGTTCGGGCACAAGGTAGGTCTTGGGTTTGCTGTTTCATCAACGCTATTAGCATTGTGCCCGGCAGGAATACTTGGATTGGTGGGTGGACTTACTATATGCGCGATAATTTGTTTCTTAACAGAAGGAATATACTCAGCTGCACAGCGAAAATGATGGAAGCAGTCGCCAACGCTGTCAGAAACGCAATCAAGCTGATTCCCTCCGTGGTCTGAGCCGTACCGCTGCTAGCGCCGTCAACAGCAGCGGAGGTGATTGTCGGAGAGGCGCTGGCCGTCCCCGTCGGGGAGCCGCCCGTCGTCGACATTATGAATTTTGATTGATCTGTGATGGATGTGATGGTTGAAGGGAAGATTGCTGTCTGGAGGGGTAGAAGATCTACAAATTGACGACCCGAAACAGTGGGCGGGAGCCGTATCCCCTGGCTCTGAAAGATCGGTCCTCCCAGCAGCAGATGGTCAGTCGTGGGCTCTATGACGGATTCATCGAGCAGATAACAATGCAGGAGGACAACAGCCTTCTGTAGATAGGACTTTTGCCGTTGCCAAAGCTCTAGGATTAGCACAAAAGACGGCAAAGGAGGTTGCCAATAAAGAAAGGGTTGGTAGGATGGGAGAGGTGAAGAAAGAAAGACAAAATGGACGTTTGTTGGTTGAGTCAGGGTCGTGGTCAATAGCACAGGTGAGTTAATGGTGAATCAGATGAGATCGAGTAGCGTGCTGGTAACTGGTAACTGGTAACGCGGGCCGCTCCCTTAAAAGAATCATGAGGAAAAGATCACCGGAGCGGGCCTTTTCGACGTATGCCAAAATGTCATGGCTGATGTCGTCTGTCTCTGCGACTGGACAAGCGGTGCCTTCGTCTGAAACAAAACCTGCTATGGGCCCTGGACGGTCCCTCATTGGCGTCTGCCGAGTGACGTCGGCGGCACCGCTCGCCGCAATCTAGGCGCTTATTGGCTGCGACGGCTCCCGAAACCACGCTGGACCCCCTGGCCACCCCCTGATGATTTGCGATCTGTACCCAAATAGCGAGACGCGTATGCAGAGGAGCTCCCTCATCCAACCATTCAGTTTTTGCTGATATCAGGGTCCTTCCGCTGCCGCTTCTCTCCTCATTCAAGGTTAATAGAGGGAGATTGTCGGCATGGATTGCAAGGCATACTGCATAGTGTACCGTCCTATAGTCTGCTCCGCCCGGTTCTCGAGATGGATTAGCACGACCCTGGCACATATCACATCTCGATCGCTTTCCGATCGTCAACTATACATCTACAGTATGCATACCTAATCCCTTCAGCTGGTTACGGCAATCCATGGGACATTATCCTGGTATCGACCCCCCGGGCCAGAACTGCGTTCCTGGTATACCTAACTCCCAATACTGCATAGCATTTGCCGTGCGGCAGCTTGTTCAACCTCACCTGCCAGACTCTGACGCGTAGGATGTGTGCAATAGGAAGCGTGACACAAGCAAGCATTCAACATTATACAAATCTGCAGTTAGCCTCCTGTCAGAGCCGACTTTGTCTCTTTGCCGACACCAGATGAGAGAGCGCGCGGAATCAAGGCATTGTGTAGCTGCTGATAACGATGAGTAGCTTCGGAGAACCTGCGGAGCTCGGTCGCCGCATGCCGTCATACCTCAGATCCAACGACCCTCACCTGGCAGTTCCATAGGTAGTCTAAGACTTATTTACTACATCAGCAGAATCAATCGTCTTGTTGTTTAATTGGCATGATGCGTGCGCTGCCAATGCTGTGGCTGCAAGCCCGATATTAACACTCCCAAACCTACCTTTCTAGCAAGCCTAGATACGTTACAAAAGGCCTCCTGCACACCCGCCCCATCCCATTGACCTTATGATGCTGTGACATTCCCGGAAGGAGCCATGCAGTGGGGAGCAGGCAAGGCCGGCTGAGAACACGCTCGATAGCAGCTTTTGACTATGACGCAGCTCCTGCAGGTGCGCTAGTCGCGTATTCCCATCAACCGAACGCTGCCCCTCTCTCCCACGTACCTACCAACATACCCAGGTACCACCTACCTGGGTATCTATTGAGCTCCTAACATTATCCCCAATTCCCTCCAAAAACACTCATCGCAGCCTAGCGAAATTGGAGGTCTTCCCGAGGTTGTCAATGATTAAGTCGGTTGACTGTGCCTTTCTCTCTAGGACTTTGCCCCTTGGCCGTCAGCTAGATCACAGAATGCGCGAAATGAACATCTGGTGAGTTGAGCGACTGCGAACATGGCAGTCTGCGCCTCCCGTGTTCATCCAGCAACTCGAGTATCAGATAGCGCTTCGGAGGCAATGGGCGTTCCGGGTCGCCAATACAACAGCTGTGTTCTGCTACCTTGCGACCGATCCCCATTTTGTATTGGTTTTGTCCACTCTAGTTGTAGAACCTCAATAGACACCTTCGCGGCATGTGGTCTAAGTCTCGGGCAGTCTTACCTTCAAGCAGATCAACAAGTGTGTTAACTCTATAAAGAAGACTGACCCCGTGGATTTTTGCCTAGCTTTTGCTTTGTGGCCCACTTCCAGTCGGTTGAGAATCCCTCATTATCGATGTGTCGATACTGTATGGCAAGTCGGCCACAAGGGTCATCAGGAGAGTAGTCGGGGAAATGTTGTAGACCTTGTATGAAGCTGTGTGGGTGTGCTTGTCCCGGCTCTGAGAGGAATGCCCTAATGGAGAATTGCGTCTTGTTGCTGTCACCATCTGCCTCTACCCGAAATGTGAAGAGGTTTCGACAGACTCTCAAGGCCCAGTAGTCACCATAGCTCTTCGAGTATCTGTCGACTGTTTGCTCGAGCCCTGTTTCTGTAAGCATGGCTTGTAGCTTTTCTCGGAGCGCTGCCGTTTCTCTTCGCCTATAACCATGCAGTATCGATACTGAGGGCATGCAATGCCCACGTTCATTATCTTCCCGTTCCGGGGTATACCTGGCGCCTTCGACAATAACATTACTCAGGGCCTGGATAGTCGAGCTGTCTGAGGAACTTTCCTCTGCGTTGCTAACATTTGGGTCAATCTTTCCGTCTATTTCCGACCCGACCCTAGATATGCGGCAAAACAGCTGTTTAACCTCTTCGTAAGCCCGTCCATCATACTGGCCTCGGTATCCTCGATCTCGGACGCGACAAGATGAATCATCGCCCCCCATTGTGCCACTTGCCTGGTGACGTGGAATTGAGGTTATCCATAAGAGCCCGAGGGTCATACTCTTAGCAGGTCGGGGGTTGTGGCCAAGTTTGGGAAGGCGTCAGACGTGAGTATTCCTCTAACTATAATTCGGATACAGCACCTAACAATATCAAAGTGAAGTAAATTCGGCTAGAAAATCTGAAGATCGCTGGTGAGCCCGGCTCACCCCATTTTTTGATCTTCTTACATACTTTTTAGCTTTGTTCTACACATAAATATAACAATTAGAATAATTATAGATGCTTTTTTGTTGAAAGATAATAAAAGTGTGAGTTATACCATCAAGTCCTTGTAGTCTAAGTAGATGTCATTACTCGAAGGTAGGGCCACAACATTAAGTAATGAAGCCTTTCGGTATTAACCTCCCAGACCACCACACAGGGATTACATAAGGCAGAGAGAGATCCTAAGGCAAGCAAGCTATTGTTTCAAGTTTGAATTTGCTATCGACAAGCTAGTAGCTTGTACAGGCAGCCTAAATGCCGAGCTTCTCGTTGCTGTTGCAGGTTTATTTCCCGCGTCGCATGAAGCAGTGTATCACCAATTGAGAATAGGTAGGTCGAGCTCATGTTTGGCCGGTGATGTACTACATCTATCGGCTGATTATTTCTCCAAATGCTCCTTCCCATCTTCGACCATTCCTGTGACTTCCCTTTGTCTCCAAATAGGAGGTCAAGTGCCTAGTCAATCCTTAGCCGGGGCTTGAGCCGTTGCTCATGCCATTTCACCCTCTGCAACCTTGGTGGCCCACCCCCGCATCAAGATTCGGGGCATGATCTAGCTGCCGACATCAACGTCCTATGATGCCTGTCACCTTGAGATAGTTGTTACCCTGCCAAGGGAATGTGCATATTCCAGCGCAGTGTACCGACCTCGGAATAAGTGAAGTTGCTGAAAACCATCTCAACTTGAGACCCTGCATATATATGCACACGTCACATTGTTGCGCCGGTGCCGTTATCTAAGTTCCTCCGACTCTCCAAAGACGTTTTGCGGCCCGAACGCCGCCAGTCTTGCGTCCATGAGACGTATCGTACGACAGTAAACACGTTATTTCGATTGGGAGCTCGACAATGGGAGATAATACGGATCTCAGAATCGCCATCATTGGCGCCGGTGCGTGTATTCATCTCATTGAGAGTTTCGTGAGCTGACTGCCCCTCAAGGCATGGGTGGCCTTGGGTGTGCTCTTGCGCTCGCTAAGAAAGGATTCAAGCACATATCTGTGTACGAGACCGCCTCCAACCTCGGGTTCGTCGGAGCTGGCATTCAATTGGCCCCGAATATGAACCGGATCCTAGACAAACTCGGCTGTTGGAAGGAGATATATGCGGAAGCGACAAATGTCAAGGAGACCAGCATAAGACGTATGTGCCCGAGTGTTTCGTAGTCTCAATAAGCTAACATCACACAGAGGGTAGCAGCAACACCGAGCTAGCCCATGTCGATATGCCCGATGTCGAGGACAAGTTTGGTTATCCCCATTGTACTGGTCATAGATCATCACTCGCAGGTGGCATGTTCAATGGATGTAAGAAGGAGAGTGCCATCAAATTCAACTTCTCTTCCGCGTTGGTCCGTGTCGACTCCTTTTCACCCAAACCAACTTTCACAGTCAAGCCGCGAGAGGGAGAACCGTATAGCGTGGAGGTCGATGTGCTGCTCGCAGCTGATGGCATCAAGAGCATCACACGCTCACAGATTCTAAGCTCCATCGGCGAAGACTCTGAAGAAGAAGATACGGGACAGGCCGCCTACCGGATCATGCTAAACCGATCCGAGATGGAGAACGATCCGGAGATGATGGAGCTGTTGGACAGCGATCTAGTGGTGCGGTGGATCGGCGAGAAGCGCCATATTATCGCGTATCCCGTCTCCTCCAAGACCATATATAACCTGTCCTCCGCGCAGCCGGATGTGAACTTTGCCAAAAGCATATCTGCAACTTACACGACCAAGGGCTCCAAGTCCGCGATGCTCAACGTTTTCCACGACTTTTGCCCACTCGTGCAGCGGATGCTCAATCTCGTCCCTGATGGCGAGGTGTGCGAGTGGAAGCTACGCCAGCACAAGCCGCTGTCTACCTGGTCTGTCGGCAGTGTTGCACTGCTTGGTGATGCTTGCCATCCTACATTGCCCCACCTTAGTCAGGGGGCCGCAATGGCCATCGAGGACGGCGCCGTCATCGCCGAGGTGTTGGCACGCCTGCCGGACCTCAGCCCGGAGACGATACATCGTGGGCTAAAGACGTACGAGGGCCTGCGGAAGGAGCGCACGAGCATGCTGGTTGACCTCGCTGCCTTCTCGGGACGAACACTCCATCTCGGGGAGGGCAAGGCAAAGGAAGAGCGTGATAGGCAGTTTGCGGCGCACAAGGACAAGAAAGGGGCAATCCCGGACAAGTGGGCGTCGCCAGATGTTCAAAAGATGATTTACTCGCACGACTGCATGCAGCATGCGAAGGACCACTTCGACGAGGTGTTTGCAAGCATCACATAGGCACTGAGACGGACGGCGCATAAAAGAATTGCATGTCGATTCCGAAATGACAAATAGCTAGGCTAGACCTGTCGCACTCTGGTGCGAGAACCGTACCCTGTAGTATCCATAGCATACATTACTCAGATATGTATGATCTCAATCCGCAGAGCCATCCTTCACCCATCGACAATGTGACAGGTCGTCCCAGACGAACTGATGATGTGAACCGCCAAACGCCGCAAAAAAACGCCTCCCCTGGGTGTTGTGTCGTGAAACCATTTGGAGTATACCGAAACTCCGTCGTCCTTTGTGTGATAATTATGGCCGCGCATTGTGGCCCTTAAGCTGTATCCTTCTCATACCCGTCGCGCGCCAGCAATTGCGCCGTCGCCACTCCTTTTCTCTCTCAAGCTCTCCCCTTCTTTTAGAACAAACATAGATCCAGGCAGCAGCAGCATGCCAGTGAGGCTAGCAGCGCCTCGAAGCAGCCGGGGCCGCTCCGCCTGTCCTGATAATAGCCGCCCTGCGGAGGGTATCCGCCGGGGCCGTAGTATCCCTGCTGCGGGGGGTATGGACCCTGGGGACCATACGGGCCCTGCTGCTGGTGATAGCCCATCTGGGGGTTCTGCTGGTAGTATCCGCCCTGTTGTTGCGGCGGGTAGCCTTGCTGATAGCCTTGGTAGGACGGTTGGGGCTGCTGCGGGCCGCCTTGCGAGTAGGCAGGGGGCTCGTCGTACTTGTTCGCCATGTCGTTGAGTGTATCAGTCTTCGGTGATGCGTGGGCCGAAATTGGAGCGAATTGATGCGCGATGGTTCTCGCGATGATGGCGCGAAGAGCAGCGATGAAGTTGACGATGTGTGTGAGTGAGCAGGGAAGAAAGAGAAAGGTTGTTCGTATTAGATCGGAAGTTCTGGGCGTACTACTTGTAAGGTTTCCTTGGGCGATTACTCGTGCGTGAGTGAGGGGAGCTTTGTGGCGAGGTTCCGGCTTAGCTCCCGCTAAAGGGTGGCACGATGGACGAGTTGGATGGCTGTAAACTGCTGCTGCAGGGCGAATTTTGTTCCTTTCTGCTGCGAACGAAGGATCCAACTAGGCAGTTGGTGACAGGAATAAGATGCGCGACTCTTTTGATCAAATAGATGAAAAGAAACAGAAAATCTGTTGCGTTTGCGACGCATCGGGAACATGTTGCCTCTTTTTCAATCAAGTCCCTCCCAAACTATCAAACTCTCTACGTCTCAGCGCTGTCCGAGCAAAAAGAGCGCCACATGACCCCCAAAGTCGGGACCTGGCTTACGTGGAATCCGATAGACTTTGAGAAGCTTGTCTCGCTGCGCCACGGTCGGATCTGGTAATGGAAGGTCCAGAATTGACCATGACCGCGAAACATCGGAAGCTTCAGTGACCTTATTGGATGCTTCGAGGCGTGTTCGGCTACTTTCTCCCAGTCATTGCGGGTTCCTGCTGATGCTATCACTTGTGCAGCGTATCATTTCGGATAGATAGCACCAGTACAACACATGTATTTCTGCCATTCGCATATTGTTACAGGTACTGCCAGCAGCACACTCACAATCAAGCTAGAAGGCCACATCCCTACGTTAATATGTCGCGTCTTCAAGTGCTTCTTAAGAAGATATCCGCATCAGAATCATCTATATAGTTGCACAGTCGGTCTTGATCTCCGAGTGACATGTCCAGACGAGAAAGATGCAAAAAGGCAACCAGGTCCAGGTCCTCCAACATCTCAGATTCTCCATGTGCCTGCACAATCGAATTGAACCTTGAATGGCCGTCTGAGATGAAGATTTCTTCAAAAGGATGGACTCGCGGGGGGTAGAACGACGACTGTTGAGTTCTCTGACATGTGACCACTCTCACACTATCTCCTATGCCTGAATATTCGATTCTGAGGCCGTAATGACCGTCTGAGATGGCGATACCGGCAAAAAGATGGACTCGCGGGGAATTGAACCCCGGACCTCTCCCATGCTAAGGGAAAATCATACCACTAGACCACAAGCCCATGATTGGATGTTGGGGAGGAGGTGTAATCGAATCCATGAGGGATTTTCGTGTGGCGAGCGGGCTGGGGTGGTTTGTGGGAAAGCGGATGTGGTCGGAGGCGGTGGCTCGGGGCAGTTGGAGGGCCAAGTCGAGAGCGTCGCGTGCCCACGGACGGCATGCTCCCATTCCATCACACAAACGCGTAGACCGCCTCCCACCATCGGAGCACTCCCACGGAGGTCGAACAATGAAGTCCGGTGTCAGACGATATAGAGATGGCTACCAGGACCATCATCCAGGTCATGCTGCTTGATCGGAGTCCGTAAGCGTGTAGACAATCGTAATGAAACTGGCTGCCGATGGGCTAGATGATGGGACATTGTGCTCGGCAATCGCCAGGATGCAACGGCATCGCTAATCGAACGGAGGGCGAAGACAGACCGTTCGCTTGGGTTGTCAGCGACGGTATACCTGATAGCCGGCTTTGATCCGTACTTGCAGGTAGACTGGATTGGATGGAATCTGTAGAATCGTTAGCTCCGGCTGTCTTCGATAGTTCGAGTACCTGTCTCGCCATTCTGCAAGCCTTCAGCTTACAGATAGTTTGAGTGCCGTCTCGGCCGTCAATCGCTGCGCCTCCTCATTCAATAGCGCATTTCATACAGTAGAATAAGGTGCAATTGATAGCTACTCTGCTATGCAGGACGGAAGGTAGCGAACACCTGGAGCCAATGAGTGGTTATTTGATGTGTTCTGTGTAGGACTGATTTTGCCATTGTGCAAAATTGGAATTGGAGAGCAAGTTGAATTTTGAAAGGGGACGTTAGTTGAGTTCTGTTGCCATCGTTCCTTCTTCAGAGGGAAAGAGTTGATGCCTGCGGGTTACTCCACAGAATGATCTCTTCAGAATGGGCAAGTGCCGTTAAGCAAAGCCCATACCACTTCGCTCCTTCCTCACACTGGCCATGAGATCAGAAGATACAAGACACAAGACACAATACACAGTCACAAAACACGCTCTCTGTTTTGTCTAGATACCTAGGTATATGTTTCAAATGCTTTATTCATTGTATCGAGCTCGGAGGTTTAGCCGACATAATCAGAGACATCTCCGTTTCGCTCGATCAAGACCTTCCCTTCTCCTCGAGCATTAGAGAGTCAAGCAGACCTACAACAAGCCGAGCCTTCACTGTCCGAAGGCGGAAGATCTAGAGTCAGCCGATGACCGCACCTGCCCGCAGCCTGCCAAGCATGACTGAATCACACCCTGAGGATGTTGAACTGCCTCAGCATGCGAGAAACAGCAACACCCAGCAGCTGCCGCATTTTTGTTGGTGACGAATACCAAACGTGCTCGCCAGCATTCACACTGCCAAAAAATCTGTCCGCCAACTCGGTTGGCGTGTGCAGGCACCGACTTCTCCATCGTTGACTACTCCGTAGACTGATGTGGGGAACTGATTTGCAACATCTCGGCCTAATCAGGTAGGTATAATGGTACCATATTGGCTTCCCACATCACGGCAGCCTCTGGCAAGGTTGGGCATCTACCTACCACTCTCGTTGATGGAATAGAAGGGCCATATTTCCAGGTCCGGTCGGCGCGGGTAACGTGGTATTCCTTCTGCGTCGGGGCTGTTACCCGATGCCGTATCAACAGAGCACGACTTGATACAGCCCAGCAGAATTAGGCATTATGATTGATAATGCATTAGAGTTTCAATCTGGACAGCTCAAGTGCGCTCACGCCTTTTGCGCCAGTACGCATGGTCGAGGCACGTACCCGCCTAGGGAGGGCGGCGCCGCGGGCGGGAGTGTGTGGCCGTGTGGTCTGGCTCACACACCGACTTCTGCAGTCGTTAAGGTAGTAATGCAGTTTTCTCGCTTCGAGTTTCCATGCTTCACGGGTCGTTCCAATTGCCAACCAACCTCATGCCGGCGTCGAAAAAATCGGCGCAAAATCGACGGAATTCCTCTATGATTTGAGGCTCTTATTTGATATTATTCGGAGTGTTTTCCCAAATAGTACCCGTCGCTACTGCCAATTGGGCCAGAGTGTTACCGACAGTCTGGTAACGAACCCAAATCGGCGGGTTGTCGTTTCTTTTGGCAGGCAACTCGAGCCACAGGTGGAAAGTACAGCACAGAAAGGGATCGGGATCTAGGGTAGCGGCATGAGGTGCGGGACGCAGCTACCTAACCCCCCCCCTGGGCACCTAAGCAGCCTCTCTCCCCGCCCCAACATTTCCCTCATCCGATGCAAGTCATGGATGAACAGAACACACATTGGCATCCTTCGCATGCCACATACGCCAAGAAACCCCACACCATTGGTTATGCTTACAGCAGCATGTAATTTGGAAGGCGTTTGAGCGAGATCGACCGCTCGAACAGACTGCAGCTTCTTTGATAGGACAGACTGCACGCGAAGTCCTGCGGGCCGCAAGGACACTTCAGAACGGCTAGAGCCTACCCAATCACCAACGGCGCTTGGACGAGTCAGGTCGACCGTGTCTGCAGAATCTTATCAAAAAATCGCCCGAATCTCCACGATGACTCTCTAAGACCCTGGTCACACTGACAGCAGTCGTGGCTGTCTCCCGGGCTTCCCTCTGCAAGCCAGGTTATAATTTTCTAGCAACTCCCCAAGGGTCGTTTCCTGAATCTGTTCAATCTGAATAGTATTTGCCACTTGGAACTCGGCTTCCTTCCACCAGCGACACGAAGATGTCTTCACTCGAATCTGTCAACGCCTTTAACAACCAGGTCCCGGATGTGGAGAAACAAACACCTCCGGTGGATAAGCACCACCAGGGTCGCGTTGTGTCATTATTGAGGGTGGAGGACGGTGAAGTCTATCAACCACATCCAGAGAAGAATCCCAAATGGTATCAAAGGCTTCTCGACGTCGGCGTCGAGGAGAATGGTATCAGGCCGGTGCCTGTAGAGAAGAGAACCAACACTCAATATTTCAACCTTTTCACAGTGCTTTTCACCGCTTTGATGTGCCTCCTTCCGTGAGTTCTCAACCTACAGAAACGCTTGTTGTGCCTCCACACTGACACGCTTTCAGCATTCCTACTGGCATGCTTGCAACCTTGGTTTTCGGGATGAACCTGCGGGATGCCGCATTGGTGATCTTGTTCTTCTCCATGCTAACATGCATTCCCCCAGCTTTCATGGGAATTGGCGGCATGAAGACGGGGTTAAGACAGCAGATGCAGGCGAGATACTCGTTCGGGTGAGTGCATGTATGCATACCCACCATTCAGCACGTACTGACCAGGCCCCCGCAGACGGTACATAGCAACGATACCTCTTCTCCTCAATGCTGCAACTGTAACTGGTTTTACGCTCATATCGGCTGTGGTAGGTGGACAGACAATCGCCGCCCTCAACCCTGAGAAAGTCAGCGTGAATGTGGGCATTGTCATCGTATGTGTCATCAGTTTCGCCGCCTCGTTGCTCGGATACAAGGCATTGCATCTGTGGAATACCTGGACATGGATTCCGAACTTGATATCCCTCGTGATCGCAGTCGGCTGTGGCGGCAAGCATCTCCATCTACAGGCAGATGTCCCGGCCGCGACGGCTGCTCAAGTCCTCTCGTATGGTGGATTGATCGCTGGATACTTTATTACATTCGGTGGTACTGTATCGGATTACTCCATCTACCACAACCCAAACGTGCGAAAGTAAGTTGATAATTCAGGCTCAACAGCCAATAAAAGAGATCACTAATAGCAATTTAGGATCAAGATCTTCTCGTACTTTTATGCCGGAATGTTCCTGCCGTCCGTACCTCTTCTTATACTTGGAGCTGCAATCGGTGGTGCCGTCCCCAATGTCCCGTCCTGGGCAGATGCATATGAAATCTCGGGAATCGGGGGAATCATGTATGAGATGTTGACCCCTGCTAAAGGCTTTGGAAAGTTCATCATGGTTCTTCTTGCGTTGAGTGTCATCGGAAACATCGCCATATCGATGTACTCCGTGGCTCTGAATCTTCAAATGCTGGTTCCTTTCTTTGCCAAGGTCCATCGGTTCTTTTTCATCACAGCCACCATGGCACTCATGATTCCCTTCGCCATAAAGGCAGCCGAGCAATGGGAGGAGAGCTTGGAAAATTTCCTTGCACTCATTGGCTATTGGGCTGGTTGTTTCGACGCGGTCATTATCGAAGAACTCGTGATCATCCGCAAGATGGACTATTCAACGTACGACCACGGCATTTGGAACGTCGGGAGAAAGTTACCCAGCGGAATTCCCGCCTTGCTGGCATCCTTGATCAGCTTCGCTCTAATCGTCCCAGGCATGGCAGAAGTTTGGTATACCGGGCCGATTGCCGAGACCACTGGCGATATCGGGTTCGAGATGGCGTTCGTGGTGACTGCGCTGTTCTATTTCCCCCTGCGCTGGTTAGAGATTAGATGGCGCGGCCACCTTTAAATGAAGGAGACAGAGCTTTGGGGTCGGATGCTACGCTGTGTCAGAGACCAGGTAGGCAGTTTTTGAAAGCGTTTCTGGAATTGATAGATCTTAACACAAGCGAATACTAGACAATTAAACCTTGTCATCTATCGCAGAATCTTGCCGCAAAGAACGACATCTTCCCCGAGCGGTATCCAAGCAATATCCGTTAGCCGAGCCGCGGCAACGGGGCTGCCATTTTGGGCGCAAACAGGATCAGGCGATACTACTACGCCTCCTTTTCCAAGCCAAGTCGGTGCGATAGTCACGATGACATTGTCGACGGGCACATCGTTTTCAGGACTCAGAAGGGTGTTGATTATCTGAGCGCCTCCCTCTACCATAATACTGCGAAGTCCTTCTTGCCAAACAATTTGCAAGATATCTGTCCACGAGATCATACCGGCCGCGTTCCGCCTCGCGGTAATGTACTTTCCGCCATGCGATTCCAGGACTTTCCGTTGAGCAGCAGGTGGACTTTCCACAGTGGTGATGATGAAAGGAGCGAGACCTTGTCCCTCTCTCTGAAGGCTGAGCACTTTGCTCTTCTCCGTTATTTCCCAACGGGCTTGTGGGTCGATCACAATTGGGCGTGGTTGGTGGCCGCCTGGGCAGAGCGAAGAGGCAAGGCGACAGTTCAGCCCTGGATTATCCGCAACCGCGGTCCCGACACCCACACAAATGGCAGCGTGGCGGCTGCGGAGATAGTGTGTCATTGCCTTAGACTCGGACCCTGACAGAATGGTGCGGACACCAGGCGCAATCGATAGCTGAGAATCTAGTGACTGAGCGAACGTCAATGTCACGAATGGCCGAGCCTTGTCCCAAAGCCCAAACATATCACAAGGAGGTAGCCGAATATCAAGCCTCGCGGCTGGCCCGGCAGGAAACGAGAGAGACTCGGCCATTATTGCAGATCGAATCCTAGGAGGCTCAGTCGTTCCGGGAACGAATGATGGACGGGTCAGGATGCCCAGCGCAAGCAGCCGTAGACGTTTGGAATAGCTGGGTTGGAAACCAGATCTGTAGGCTCAATGCACCTTGCAAGCGGACGCTCCTCTCCGATAGGTCTAACTAAGCACTCGATGGCCAACTTTCCATTTAGTATCTTCCTACTGCAACAGGCCGACTAGCACCCCAGCGACAGAGAGAGGTTCGACGATGATGAGGCTCGCCTGCCGGGAGGTACACGAGGAGGCCAATCAAGACTTGATTACGAAAAACGATGCGCGATGCGAGATGGCTGCCGGCGGCGACTGTTGGTGGCGCTAAAGAGCAGTCGCACAGCATGCAGACGGGCGGCAATTGGGGGCGTGACGGCGGAAAAGCAACAAAGATGTCAACCTTGGATCCCCGAATAGCTGCAATGACAGCTCGCTTCGACTGAGAGGTGATGTTGGTGCCAGGTTTCTCCAACAATCAATCATCCACTGGCAGGTCACGTCACAGCGGGCTGTTGGGGGTTTTTTAGGCCGCCCGAGCGGGGAATTGGAGGCCGGTGGGGCGTCAGAGGCTAAGAGATGCCTGCCGGAAGGAATCTTCAGTGAGCGGACTGGCACTCCTGATGCTAATTCCAGCATGACAAATGGCTGATGGACCCAAGGCCCAGAGAACAAAGTGCCTGATACGAAGGCATTTGGAAAGCCTCACCTCTCTGCGGTGGTGTTCGGTCTCTTCGAGCCAGTGGAGGAAGATCTCTCCGTGCCGTCCCAGTGATGGACCGGCGCTGCGGGCGGCCCTGGTACATTTGTCTAGCCATTCCCACACTGGGCCGTCCGCAGCCAACAACGTCCGAACACACATTGGGAAGAGCGCCTTTTCACGCTGGACATATGCGACGTTCGCATCATGCATGGCTTATCACCAACAGGTGTAAGTCTCCCTAATCCAGCCCGTCTCTCGTCTTATCTTATGCCTATGGGTGGGAGTCTCGCAGCGTATGTGTACCGTACCCGTCGCCTGGAACTAGTCTGTTGCCGGAACTTTGCCGCGGAGCGTACGACGAGCATCGAGTCGGTCCGTTGTTGGTGGTTGTTGGTTCTGCAAGAGCCTGCGCCAACCAACTAGTCTCAGACAAGATTCGCTCCCCCTCAGCTCAGACTTCTCTTGTGCTTTGTGTTCGAAGGCGGTATCACGCCCTCGTTTCATTGTCTCACTCAATGAAGCTAGGTTGCGATACTCGAGCTGGTCAACCAGCTAATCGGTCATGAAGCCGGCGCCATCTTGTGGAGCGGAGGTGTCGTTGGCAGGCGCCATATCTTATTAGTCTGCGCCTTGCGGCAGGCAGGCGGGCAAGCTGATATCACCAAAATATGGGTGTAGAGGATTTCTATTTCGATCTAGAGTCTCACGAAACTGATGATAGGAGATTCTTTTTCCTTTCAAAGTCGGCATCTGATAGATATAGTCGTCATCATATATATATATACTTCAGAAACGCTCAGCCAATTCTGCAGTCTTGCCCCAGAAATATACTTTTTTGGATTTTATGGTGATTGCTATCAGCTCCCCCAGTCATTACCATCTAATAATCCAGTCTAATGGGATCAACCCAATTGAAGAGCATTGGTCTATCAGGATATCCGTATATATCATCTATCTCTTTATCACAGGAGGTCAGCCAACCTGGAGATTGTTATAGACCATTATTTTACCAATCTCCACAGAAGATCATGGCCGATGACTCTATTTCTGACGAGAGCCACGGCTCCCTGCCTCTGTTTGGTCCCATCAGTAGCCGCACAGCGTACTTGACAGAGCCCAAATACAAGGACCATTATCAATACCAAGTAGGCTTTGGCAACAGCTTCGCGTCAGAAGCGGTGTGAGCAGAGACGATACAGGATGGACGGAATGCATCCCCATAGCTAAACATGTCTAGACCAGGAACGCTGCCGAATGCGTGCAACGCTCCCCAGAGACTCAAATATGACTTGTACTCGGAGCAAATCAACGGCACTGCGTTTGTGTCTCCGAGAGCAACGATGCAGCATGCTTGGCTGTACAGAATCTTCCCCTCCTGTGCGCATTCGCAAGTGAAGAAGGTGAACGTGGAATCTGAAGTTAGTCAGCCTTGAGTCGTCACCCGTCTGACCCCTGATCCCCACTTCTCGCTATGCTAATTGGTACTAGGGACAACTCGAGGTACGATTCACCACGTCCAATGATAATGTCGAGTTCACTCCGGCTTCCTTGTGCTGGAACCCTTTCCCTATACCGGATGAGAACAGGAAGCAAATTGACTTCGTGGACGGTCTGAGAACACTGGGAGGGAATGGAGATGCCACAACCCAGGAAGGGCTTGCGATCCATGTGTACACGGCGAACGTTTCCATGAGAAACAGGGCATTCTGCAGCAATGATGGCGATATGCTCATCGTGCCCCAGCAGGGCCGGCTGGATGTTCAGACGGAATTTGGCAGGTGAAGAGACTTGCCCAACTTGATTCCTCAAACATCAGGTTGACTGACTATTATCAAACTAGAATGATGGTTCGGCCAGGCGAACTGGCCGTGATACAGGCCGGTATCCGCTTCACTGTTAGCTTGCCTGATGGACCGGCTCGAGGATGTGAGATTCTCTCGCCTATTTGACACAATTGCCTGAGACTTTTTAGATACTCAAGAAGTTTTCGGCAGCCACTATGAGCTCCCAGAGCTAGGGCCTCTAGGTTGTAACGGCATGGCTTTACCACGGGACTTTGAACACCCAGTAGCATCCTTTGATTTCAATGTCTCTGATTGGGAGGGTGAGTGACATACCTGCGAATCTTTCCGAAGAATCGTGCTGATGTTTCGACCAACACCGCAGTCATTTATAAGGTCGCCGGCAAGCTGTGGTCTTACAAGCAAGACCACACGCCATTCGACGTGGTGGCATGGCATGGAAAGTCGGTTGAATGCCCCTAACTGGAGCCCCTTTTTTCCAGCAGATATCCAGCTGACTCAATGCACCTACCAGCTATGTTCCATACAAATATTGCATGGAGAAGTTCATCAACGCCGCCATGGTGGACCGAGACCAGGCAGACCCAACGCTCTACACCGTCCTGACTGCCAAATCGAAACATTCCCAGATCTCGCTCACGGACTTCCTAGCATTCACTCCAAAGTGGAACGTCACGAGCAACACGTTTCGTCCGCCGGTACGTCTCAAGGACGTCTCTCCACCACCCCCTGGTACGGCCGACTAACACTAAGCGTCTGTCGCCTAGTACTACCACCGCAACAAGACCACCGAGATCATGGGCGTCGTCTACGGCGCGTACGGCGGCTCGAGCAAGGACCTCCGCGCCGGCGGCCTCAGCCTCCAGCCCAGCTACATGCCGCACGGCGAGACGGCGCAGCGCTTTGCCGAAGCCACGGGGGCGGAGCTGAAGCCGGAGCGCTCAGGCGAGGGCTCTCTGTGTGAGTACTTCATGACGAGGCGGCTCTGGTCTTTGGTCGGGGGCACTGATGGGTGTTAACTAGTCTTCATGTTCCATGTCAACGCCCACTGCGCGGTGACGAGATATGCTCTCGAGCGGAGCGGTGCACTGCAAGGTGCGTAGGGGGAGAGAGATGCCTTGATTGCGAGATGTCACTAATGTCTGGCTGACAGTCCATTCGCGAACGCCGTGGGAGGATATGGAAGGTGGCTTGTACAAGCACATTGAGCAGATCAACAAGGATCTCAGGAAGATGGGCCTGGACCCCTTGTCTACTTCGCAGTGATGATGTATAAACCGCCAAGAGTATGGTGAGATAGGGGCCAGCGAGTGACAGAATGTATAAGTATTTTGGTCATAACAAGAACGTCACGCATTTGGATACCAGAGTCTTCTATCAAACTGTTCTCGTGATGTCTATTTGTTATTTATCGCCTAGTGAATGCTAGTATTAAGCCTGTTTGTTGTTGTACAAGGATCTGGAGGGCATGCATGCCCTGGGTATCATCAGCCTGCATGCTCGAAGTTAGGAAAGCCATGCATGCAGTAGTAGTACAATGTTGCTGGAAAGGAAACACCAAATGCAAAATACAAACCGCCCTTCGTCGGTGTCGATGCTCACGAACTTCTTCTCGTTCATGTCCGTTGTTGAATGTCGCGTCTATCACTCACTCACTCCCCCGCCTCCACGCTCTCGATCCACACGCGCACCGCGTCCTTCAGCACGCTCTCCTTCGCCCGCGGGCCCCGGCCGTTGCCGCCTCGTGGGTGGTCCTTCTTCTGGATGACCTCCCTGACAATCTCCTCCAGCGCCGACAGCACCACGGTCTTGCACTCGCCGCGCGGCACCTCCTGCGGCGGCGGCGGCGGGAGGTGCGGCAGGTCCTCGGACTCGGTCGACTCGCCGGTGCTCCCCCGCCGCTGGCTGACGGACCGCGACGAGGCCGCCGAGCTGTCCTTGCTGATGTCTGCGCCGAGGGCGACGACGCGCTCCACGGCCTCGATCAGCGTCTCGTCGAGGGTCACGATGGGCTCCTCGGTGAACTCCTCCTCGATGCACCGCTCGTACGGCGAGAGGGACGGCGTCAGGGCGGCGGAGGTGTGCGAGTTGACGGAGCCGGAGAGCAGCGGCGTGCTCCTGTCGACGACCGGCTTGGGCTTGACGAGGCGGCGGTAGCGGATCAGAGAGATGGAGAAGTTGGTCGTGTCTGCGATGAGTGCGCAGCTCACGTCTACCCATCGCTCCCTATCGGATTCAATGCTTGAGGCGGTGAAGGGCGTGGGCTCCGCTCTCAGTGATGCCTTCACCTGATCCACTAGATCTGGGCTCGACGGAATAGCCTGCAGGACGAAGTCTGGATGGTAGCATTGGAGCCATCCCGCCACATTCATGGGCATGTCGCCGTCCATGGACAAGCGACATGCTTGTTCAAAGGCCTCGAGCCCACTACCGAACCCTGGCGTGGACAAGTAGCCACTGCTGGAAGGCGAGCTAACAGCCGTCTCGAACGAGGTGAGGTATTCCGGAAACGGCACATCAACATCAATGATGCCGTCATCGGCGTTGATCGTAGTCTTGACTGGGGACTCGAAGGCTCCGTTCGGGTCAGGGGTTCGCTCTGATCGTCGAGACTCTGGCGGACCGCCACCAAGACTCTCTGTGTCACCGAGCAGTTGGCGAGGCGTCTGTGGCGCCGTGCTCGTCGAGTCGGACGGCTCCTCTTTCACTGGACTGTCGACCATCTGTGCCTCCTCTACCATCCTGCCTAGAGATACTCTCCGTTGAGATATGGACTTCCGTGGTGAGGACGAAAAGCTATCTCGACTACCAGTAGAGTCCCTACTCTGCACCGTCGTATGTGTAGAGTCTCGCTTGCGAGCTCCCCATAGCCCGCCAATGACACTACCCCAGCGAGAGCTTTGTCGCGAGTCGGTGCTTCCCGAGCTATATTGCCCTGAACTGTCACCCCGCTTCAGCGATCGCTTCAGATCGTCCGCCGCTACACTGCTGCTGCTACCAGGTCGGGCATAGAATTGAGATTCGATGCCATGTGCCGTCGCGAAATGCGGAATGCTCGTCTCTGGCGTGATGGTGGTCGTGGTCGCCGCACTGCTCTTTCTCGTCCCAAAATCGTTGCCGAGGATCGGAATGTTAGTTGTCTTGATAGACGCAGCATCCGATGCTCTCCTCTCGTGGCGGGTATCCATGCTCAAGTGCGCGAGATGCGCCGGGATAGAGCTTCGCGTAGAGGGCGCTTGCATGCTCACGTTTCTCGAATGCGATGACTGCCTCGGTGCTCCGCGTCGGTTGATCTTGCGCCGGAGCGACTCTTCCTTCAAGATGGGCACTATGTAGGATGGAGGTGATTGCGAGAAAGCGCCATAGGATGCCGATGTGCTCGGTCGGTGTGTTCGCATGTTCGCGAGCTGTTGGTTCGAGGGAAGGAATGCAGAGAGGAGGAAAACAACTCGGCGGGCTGCCATCTTGTCCTGGCCGACGACGATCGTTCGAACAGGCAGGGACAGGTCTTCCTCGCCTTTTGCTTTCTGCTGTAGGAAATACTGCTTGCGGTACTTGGATGGGCTTAGTGCCTGCAGCCAGTCGGTGTGGACGGAGAGGAATCCTGTCAGGAGGTTAAAGAAAAAGAAGCCCTGTTCTCTTCCGCCCGCCCATCTCGAGACCCATCTTGCCTCTTCCCGCCAGATTCCCCAGCGATTCTGGCCTGTCACTACCCTGGCCGCACAAAGTCCAGAGACTATCCTTGCTTTAGCGCTTTCGACCTCGGCCCGGATTTGTCGGTCATCAGCTAAACAGTTAGGTAGCAGATACACCGACTTGAAGTTGACTTTCGGTGGTTTGACTGGTCCTCCATCCTCGCTCCTTCTACTAGACAAAGATGGAGTCCGGGCAAGCTGGGCTGATATCGAAGGAGGTATGGGGTCTGGTGAGACCATATCGGCTTGCTTCAACATTGAGAACAAGTTGGTTGCAACGACAGACTGCAGATGTGTGAGAGTGCGCATGATGATATCCCAGTGCTGGGTAAGAAAGTCGATACGGTCTTCCACGTCCGTGCTGTAACCTGAGTCGAACGAGTCCATCCCGGACCCATTTCCTACCATTGTCCAGCCAGCCCGCCGAGTGGAACTGAAGGAAGACGGATATGACTCTTGCTCGGTGTATGAGCCGGGCCCGCGGAATGTCGACCGCACGGCGCTAGTAGCCGTCGACTGCGATGGACCTTGTGGTAAGTTGATGATCAATGCTACAGCGTACATAGGCGTTCTTTTCATCTTTGGTGTCGCTTTCTTCGGCGGCTTCCCAGAGCCATCATCAACAGGTGCCGGGAAGGGATAGCCAGAGCTGTCCTCGGAGAAGCGACCCTGAGGAGTCACGGATGACTTGTTATCATCGGGGATGTTGACAGGGAAAAGTCGAGTGATGAGAACACGCCGTTTCTCAGGGGCGCGAGGCGCTGATGAGGAGGGCGGGTTGAAAGGAGAAATCATCTCTGAGGAGAAGGACTGCGACAGCTTGCTCGACCTCATGCTGGAGCGACCCATCGACCCCCGCCCGTCTCCAATGATGGAGTTTGCGACATCGTTTCTCGGATCGGTTGGCATGACGTGGACCTTTGTCGACGTGCCCTTGTACGCCAGGAACTCATTATTCCCGAAAATACAGCTCGAAAAGGTGGCAATCTCCTCCCCGTACTCCCTCATGGCGCGTTGCGCCTCAGTCTCGACACGGCTCTGCGCTCGCCCCTGAACGGAGGCCCTTCGACCAAAGGCACTCTGTCGTGGCTGTGGACTCTCTGGCTGAATGACAACAGGTCTTGACGACTGACTGAGACTTGTCTTCCTGGGCGAGGTAGGATTCCGCCGAGCATCTTGGAGGGCAGGGTGGGATGCGCCTACCGTGGTAGATGGCCGCTCGGTGGGCTGGTTCACGGGAGGCGGAGGAGGCTGGCTATCATACAAAAGAGAAGCAGGGACGGAGCTCAGGGTGTCCTGCATGATGACCACCCGCACATCGCGGGTGTCCATGTCGATGTCGCCATCATAATCAAAGGCGTTCGACGTGGAACTCGGCAGGGCGGAGGCTGTTGAGAGAGGAAAGACCTGGTCGTGACGGTGCTGATAGAGTGCTTGAGCATCTGGAAACAAGAGGTTGCGTGTATGGATATCTTCCTGTACAGACTCGAGTGACGAGACAGGCTTGGATGAAGGTTGAGAGGAGGGTGGAGCACCGGCCCCGTTGCCCGAGGTGAGGTTGAAGAGCTTCCCCAGCATCTTGTCGGATGCGAGGGAAGCCAACTGAAGAGGTATGCGTGTATGATCACCCTATCAGTCAACCAAGACCAGCCTCAACATTGTCTCGGGAAAGAGGGCAACTGCGCGCGCATCGCTTCTGGTCTCTTGAGGGTGCTCATGTGATGATAGAGGGTACGAGAGTTAGAGCTACGAGACGCCGCCGGTAGCACTCCCTTTACTCAGGAGTATGTTGCTGACTACTGCTGCTGAGTTCCAGATCCAGGTCCTGCTCCTGGCGAAGGGGGGAAAGAGGTAGGTTAATGTGACGAAAGGTGCGCAGTACTGTGATTCGGCAGCAGGCCTGTCCGTTGCGCGTAGGCCAACTCTGGTCTCAGCCAACGGTAACGTCTGCCAGTTGGATGTGCGCTATATGCCAGCACACACAACAGCAAACATGCGAGAACAAGATGAAAACAGCCGGCAAACAGCAGAGGCCACCGGACCTGAGGCACTTTTTGTCAGAAGAAAGTGAAAGTGCGTTGGAGGAGGGAGTATGGGCGGAGGAAATGCGGCGTTGGCGATGGTGAAGAAAGTCTGGGCCACCGGCGGACAAGGCGGCGGCAGGTAGGGTACCTATAGGTATAGAGAGTACTGTATTAGAGACAGGCCCAGCCCAGACCGACTACTGGTAACGTTATTGGTATTCTACGTCGAGCGGGCGAGATATACCGGTAAGTGTCCCGCAGTCTGGTCTGTGTTTGTTGCGAGCGAGTGATATGTTAATCAAGCCGCTACTTGGGCGACCTGGTGACGATCCCTCCCAATAGCCCACCCCAGTAAGACCGGATCAGATACGCCGCAGGGACTTGGTTCTTCAGAAATGACGGCGGGTTGGATTCCAGCTGCTCATGCTCATGCCCATGCCCATGCCGAGGAGGCGGGTAAGAGGTGACTTGAGAGAAGGACGGTAACTGAACTGAGCTCAACTGAGCCCAACTGAGCTCAACTGAACTGAACTGGTCTGATCTGAGTGGAGAGTGTTGGTATAGGTCCGAGATGGTCCTGGGATGGGATGGTATGGGATAGGATAGGATGGGATCGGGGGGGCGATGATGGGCGGTACCGGAGACTGGCCGCTAAGGTACGAGTCAAATACCTCGACCGCGACTCGTCGGCAAGCAAGTTACTGCATGGTAGCTGCTGGTCCGGGGCATGCTCCAGCGCACGGCGGGCCTGGCAAAGCCTGGCAAGCTAGCTGGGGACTGGGGCCTGGCGGCGGTAGTGTCAGTCTAAGGGCGAGCGGGTCGCCAAAGATGCCGAGCTAGCGTGGACTAAGGGACGTTACCGTACAGTAGCCGTAGGCGGGAGGCACAGGACAGATCAGAGAGGGACAGAGACTGGCTGGCTGGCTGACTGACAGTCTCACTAGCAACAAGACAGACAGAAAATGGAGAAGGGATGTACCCTGGAAAAGTGTCGACTTGTTGTTATTGTTGTTGAGGAATGTCCTATACTAAGGCAGATTGCGGACTCGTACCCAAGAGCAAAGGCGGAAGTAAAGCAAAGCAAGGATGATACCTGAGCCCAGGGAAACATGCGGAATGATGTAAAGTGCCTACCTCCCTACTCCGTATACATTATATTAATAGTGTAGTCACCACCTACCTACCTAGGTACCATAGTAGGTACACTATGATGGAAGTACCTAGGAAAGTAGGTAGATACCTAGGGAGGGAGGGAACCGCCGCCGCCCTTCCAAGCTTCTTCTTTCTCTGCCTTCTGCTTCTCTGCGGTGCTCCCCCCGGCGGCGGCTGGACTCTGCAGAGAGTGAGTGTTTGACGGCTTGACTGATTGACTGGGGTCTGGTTTGAAAATGCGGTGTACACTACAAGTGAGCGAAAGGCAATGGGAGGAACGTGGCCGAGCAAGGGCCCCCCCAGACAGCTTGGCAAGCCTGCGATGTGTGTGGTCCCCTGGTCCGCCTCGCTGTGGAGCATCAGCCCAGCCCGCTATGGCTAACGTTATGGCGATGTGTGCCTGTCTGTGTAAGCTGTCTCCAGGCCCCGCTGCTTGCTGTCACTGTGAGTACTGCGCACCTACCTATAGGTACCTAGATACTTGGGCAGGTAGACTGGGGCTCGTTGCTGCTATCTGAGTTGAGTCAAGCCTACCGGTACATGGTTAGTCAGCCCAAAACAAATCAATGTCCAATGCAAGTGGACCGCCGCGCGCTGAATCCGCGCGCGCGCATTGAGAAGAGGCAATTGCAGTAACAAACAACGAACGATGCTGGGCAAAATGGAGGTGAGCGATATGTCGGTCTCCGGGCTCGAGCGAGCTACGCTACCGGTACGCTACTGAGGCGATGGATGGAGGGGGGACAAAAAGACAGGCAGGCTACTATGCAGTAAGCTACTGCATGGGCAAAGGTATCGGTACGGTACGGTACTGTACATGTACCCCGACTACGACGCACGCACGCACGCACGCACGCACGCACGCAAATCAATCACTTGCAGCCGGCTTGCCGACCATGGCACAGTTGTTGCACCTAGAGCACTGTACTCTAGACAGACATGTCTTTTTCTTCACCGTATTTGCTGAAAAGTGTGTGTGTGTGTGTGTGTGTGCGTGTATTCCTGGTTCGACGGACATACCTTTCTTGCAATCAAGTCTACCAAGTACCTAACGTTACCTACCTTACTTACCTGAACGAGCCCTGGAAGACGGTAAAAGCCGCATCCTCATCGTAGGGCATCAATTTCTGTGCTCGTTTGGGCCTGACCATCCTGGGCGACCCTGGCTGCCAGTAATTGCCCCCCGCCAGCCAGCGCGATGTTATGGGATGATGATGATGATAATGGATGGGTGGTGGTAGCGACGGAAAGGAGACAAAACATGTCTCCGAATCGCAGGTACCGGAGAAATGCCGTGAAGGAGCGAGGTGGCACCTACACAGGAACACAGTAACCGGTGACTGAGTGTGTTGGTTTCCCCCTCCCTGGTAGACTAGACTATGACAGGTTGTCCATACTGATTTCTTTTATTTTGGTTCATTTTCCATCAGTTGACGTTTAATATGGGATAGGCGTTGTGGGTTCTGCTCCCTGGGCCCTGGCTGTTTGAAGGGTTAGGAACGCATGTCTCAGATCGCCCGCGTTCCTGTCTCGTCCCTTGGGACAGACCACTCTACAGTACTACCTATACCCAGTAAGTAGAACAGTCCCGTCTGTCTTTCTGCCTTACTCCGTCATACCGCAGCACAGAAGCAAAAAGAGAGGTAGGGACCCCTGAATCGAAGTGGTCTTGTCGTCTCGCGCTTGTCTCTCCCGAACAGACCTGACGTGGCTGGCCTCAAACCCGGCGCGACGATCCTGGACCTGGACCTGGACCTGGACCTGGACCTGGAGGTGGAGGGGTGTGACTGTCTCTCCCTCTTCTCATGGTTGTATGTCTCTCTGCGCCTGTCAATTTGAAATTGTCCCCTCCTCAAACACGAATCTCTCCGGTTTTCCGGTTCTCGCCCTGGAAATGCGTTACTTTCGACCGCCGTCCGTCCCCTTTTCTCCCAGGCACCTTCGGGGAGACTCGATTACGAATGGCCACGATCTTACCGGTGCGGAGACCCCAAGAGTCCAGAGCTGCCGTGCGTCATATCATGGGTAGGCCAGTAGCCCCGGCTTTGTCACTTCGACTCATCTGCTGCAGGGCAGCTACCGTCATCGAGAGACCCTGGTAATTATTAACATACGAGGGCGGTGAACGGCTACCCTTGCCCTATACAGGACCTCTCAGTCATACCTCTCGACCAACATGAACGATAGCAGGAGCCTCTTATTGATAACATCTTAACAGGTGAGCATTAAGAGTGCTATACCGAGCACCAAGAGCCAACCGCAAGGCCTCGGCGTAATGTCAAATGCCCTGTACCAGACGGCCCGGCGACCTCCTATCAAAGGGCATTGCCGCATCCATCCGTCCTTCCATGGAGCGTTCGGAACGAACTCTATGGCTCTTAGTGATCCCGTTGCTTGAAGCTGTGCATACGTACCATACCACATGTCAAAGCAAACAAGCTTGTGATTGACACAAACGACCGGTCAACGTTTGGCTCCCTGTCCCAGTCTCACGGTTTCACCGCCCATCGTATTCCTCCTGCTTCGTAATCAGCGCAGGCTCATGTCGTGTACTGCGGTAGCTTCGGAGTCAGCCTCACGGCTTATTGGCACCTGCGCATTCCTTTCTGTCCGTGCTTGACGCTCATGGCCTGCAACTGCCAACAACGGCCACCCTGCCTAAAGATAGATGGATGGATGGGGTTCCCTCGCTAGCGAAATGTACCACCGTTTCCTAGCTCCGCTGAGCAACGCAACACCTGCATGATGCATCAAACAAAACAGCCGGCTAGGGCAGGGAAAGGCAGAGCAGTGTGTGTGGCTTGTCAATAAAAATGTCTCTCAACTTACCTCTGCCGAGCGTCATCGCCTTCACCCTGCGAAACAGCCTCTCGGGACCTCATTCGATCTGTTTGCCGAGTGTCTTAGTCTACTCTACTTGAAGGCCTGTCTGTCTTATGGGAAAGCCAGACGATCACTAAACCCTCGTAAACAAATCTAGCATGGGTCGCGCCTTCCTTTTGTTTAACTTGACTCGCTCTCACAACACCGTAGGACTGATTAGACACCGACCTTTACATACCTAACTTGAACTGAGAGTTCTCTAGCAAGGGAGACATTCAGCCCTGACACATCTGCACCACATCTTGCAAATGGCCCCCTTCAATGAGAAGCGACACGATGACATGCGACATTCGTGTGCAGTCGTACTAATAAATGAACACAGTTCCGATCAATTGAGGCATCGCTAAATCCCTCTTGCCCCTGATTCTCCCGTTTTCCCGATGACAACCTTGGCTATTCCAAGTGGGCTCACTGGCGCGCGAGATATTGGCACCAAAAAAGAAGCGCGTCTGAGATTCTGTAACATATCACATTTTGCTGATCGGCTCTTCGTTCCACTGTCGAGAGGAGTGCCCCTCGCTCGGCCAGCCTTCCCCGAAATACCCACGAATGCGAATGAATTTATTTTTCTGAATTATACTCGCATCGCATCAACCATTGCCCCATATGTTGCACCGAAGTGTTTCCGGCATTTGCCCTAGGCATATCTCAGAATCACTCAGCTCGTTATGCCGCACTGCCGGACGTTTCCAGCAGACCGGGTCGTTATATCAGCAGCTGGGAAGCTCCTGTGTTGAGATATGACTGTCAATCGACGTCGATCCCTGGCTGGCGCTCCGACCTGCCCTTTTGGCGCTCCCAATAGTGGTTCTCCAGGGAGTCACCAGGCTCCTTCTTGTCTTGTACCGTGAAGCGAAGTGGGAGGATGCCTACCGAGCGCAAGAAAACGACGGGGCGATCCTGGACCTGACACCGCTCAGGCCTGATAACCTGTCCCATCAGAAGCAAAGGAGCCTGTCTTTCCGCTTCCATTAGCCCCCAGGTCTGGCCTCGACCACGGAATTTTGGCAAACGAAAGTAAAGTATGCAAAGCAACCATGGAGGTGAGACAGGACAACTGGCCATGTTCGATTGGTACCCGGCAAGTCGATCGCTACTTTGTCCAAAGTCGAGCCTCCCCCTGGCCCCCAAGGTGCGGTTACACACACAGCCATGACGGGGTAGCAAGAATGACCTCACACCGCTTCACTCACCTACCACGTTGATTATCCGGGAGCCAGAACAGGAGCAGTAACGCAGCAGCAGCAGCAGCAGCAGCACTTCCTACCCAGATAGACGGCTCGGGCCTCCCCGTTCGTTATCATTATCACATATCAGGATACATACAACGCACGCACGGAAAAGGTTGGTAAGAGTCAGACGGGATGGCAGTCTGGCGCATCGGCCCGTCTTGTCATCCTCTCAAAGCTGCAACCCGGGCAAATCCAGGATGCGACCGTCGACTTCCACGTGTAGATAGCGACCGGATATTACGCCAGAATGGCAATGAATGTCTGGCCGATAGCATTGGCGACGAACCGGACACTACCTTTCTGACGTAATTCCCAACAGCACATGCAACCCAACTTTGTCCTCATGTACTCTATCTGACGACAGCCGAGGACAAGACTTAAGAAAATGTGTAAGGTACCGGTACTGCAGTGTCCAGTGCGTTTGGCTTTCTGATTGCGGCCCGGTCGCTCCCAACACCCAAGTCCCCACCAGACCCTGGCTGGTTTCTGGAATATCCACAGAAGGTTATCAGGTCGCACAATGCTGGGGATCTCTTCACGCATGTGAATGATCGCTGGTCAGCAGGGCTATTGATCCACGCCTATCACTATCAAATGGATGGAAAACATCATGCCATTTTAATTGCTTTTTTTTCCCTTCCTACTGGCGATGTGCATCCCTACTATGCAGTTCTAACCCTGAGGAAAGCGCGGCTCTCTCTGATAAACAATCAGTCGCCGTCCATTAGATGATGGGCCTGTTTCCGTGGCGCCGATGGAGACGCGAAGGCAAAAAGCCCCCACGCTGGACACTCCACTATCCACGCTATTTCGTACAGGTCCTCAGACCGAGACCACGGATTCGGGTCAGAGCTACCGGGCAGGACACAGGATGGCTTCCCTGTCTAGCTTTGTGGCGGCCCTCTGCTATTACGTTAAAACCTCTAATCTGATGGGCTCAGGGAGTCAGGCTAGAGCTAGAGAATTGAAGCCCGTCTCGAGGCGTTCGTCAGCCGGCGGCAAGCTTTACCTAAGTAATCGCTAAATACCGGTTTCACTTGTCTACCAGTGCGATTTTCGGGGTGGGTTTCCGCTGAGACTTGGTGACCTCCTGGGAATGCTCGGTGTCATTTTCTCTATCAAAAAGATCCACACGCAATGAAGGTCGGGTCATCCGACCAAACCTTCCAAAGACGATTAGCTTCGTCTGAGATATCAAGCTACGTCTACTTCGAGCCCGACTAGACAGCCTCATTACCTTAGCTGCCGCAAGTGCCGCGCTCGACTCAAATCAAATCATCTCAAATTCGCACAGATGAAGTGCAGCACATCAAGTTCTCGCACAGATTACCGCAGACCATCTGGCAGGCAGCTGGATTGAGCCCTCTCCTTCTAAGAGACGAGCTCGCGGAATCGGCGACGGCATTGTTGATGCTCTCGGCTGGAGCTGCTGCTGCTGCCGCCGCCGCCGCCGCCAGCGCCGCCGCCCCGGCTGCCGTCTCGGGCTGCAGGGTCGCGGAGTGGATGCCGTAGGCGTGGAGGCACTCGCTGACGGTGCGCGCCTTCTCCATGAAGTTGGAGACGGACTGGTCGGAGACCACAACGTGCACCGAGGCGATGGCCTTCTTCTGGTCCAGCCGCCAGACGTGCAGCTCGTGGACCGACTCGATGCCGGGGATCTATCAGACAGGAGAAAAATCGTCAGCGCCGCTAGTGATTTCGCAATGCATGCACGTGGGATGGGCTGGGCTGGGCTGGGCTGTACTACACACCTTCTCGAGGTCGTGCTTGACGTCCCCCAGGTCGACGCCGCGGGGGGCGCTCTGCAGCAGGATGGCGCCGCTGTTCTTGACGAGGGGCAGCGCCGTGAGCAGGATCATGATGGCGATGCCCATGCTCGCGCCGGGGTCGGCGTAGAAGCGCGCTGCGTAGTCGGCCTGCCAGATCACCAGGGCGGCGATGATGACGCCGACGTTGTTGAGGGCGTCGCCGATGACGTGGGTGAGCACGCCGAGCATGCCCAGGTCGCGGCCGGGGCTCTTAAGCTTGGCTGCGTTGTGGCGGTGCTCTGCGTGAGGCTGGATGGGCTGAGGAGGAGGTGAGCAGGCGGGAGTCTGCGCTGGGATCGGGGATCACTTACGGTCATGTCGTAATCTTCTTGGGTGATGCCATCTGAGTGGACGGAGCTTGAGTCTCCATGGCTGTGACCGTGGCCACTTCCATGATCATGTCCGTGATGCTCTATTGATTGCATGCATTAGTTGTGATTCATCCGACATGTGGAGGGTTGAGGGCATGTTACCGTGCAAGAATGTGGCGCTGATGATGTTCAAGCCTAGACCTATGCAGCCCATGATGAGGACTAGCTTCGGGTTCTCGACATCTGATATGAAGTGAGCTCATTGTCGTGACCAGTCGTTCAAGTGACAACTTACGTTGGATCGAGATGAACCTCTCAATTGACTGCAGGAAGATGCTGATACCGAGCGCGAGGAGGAACACGCCGTTGAAAAAGGCCCCGAGTAGTTGAGCTCGTTGCCAGCCGAATGACAACTCCTGGGGCGATTCTGCTCGCTCTGAGATCTAGCCAATGTTTAGGAGACAGTGCTGAAAATAGATGAACAGGTAAGAGACTTACAATTAGGGCAGTGAGGGCGACAATGAAGCCAACGAGGTCATTCATCTATCAAGAGTTAGTCTCACAGACTTAGCGTTGCCTTGTCAGGCTGGTGACTTGCATAGTGGAAGGCATCGGCAACCAGTGCGAGGGATTTTGTGAGGAATGCGACTAGAAGCCATTCAGTATGAGCCGTTTATCAATGCAATCCGTGCTCGTTGGTCGTTGTTGAGTTGGCTTACTGGCAATTTCCGCCACGAAGAACGAGAAGGAGATGCCGATAGTGATGATGAGCCTCCGCTTCGGCGTCAGAGTGAAGCCCATGATGGCAATTCGTTCAAGTGTATGACGATGGTATGATGGAGAGATGTGCAGTCCGTTAAGAAAAGTAAGAAGCCTTATAGAAACGACCGGGTTTCATTCACCTGACCAGAGTGACGGAATCACCGCGGAGTAGGACCTTGTTGTGTTGTCCGGGAAATTCGAGGAAATTGTTTGTTTGCTCGGTCGGTCGCTCGACTCATTCATACTCGGCCGTTACGCTCGTCGTTAAGTCGTGGCAAAAGGGCATTGCCGATCCGACGCCGAAACGCTAGATGAGACGGGGACCCAATCGTTTTGCAACGGGACTCGGGAAAAGCATCCCCCTTCGTTCAGTGCCGTGACACGCATTCCCATTGCTACCACTAACTCTGGCTACAGTGTTCTATTCTCGGTGCATGCACAGGGTCCAAACGGGGTCTGCTTGATCTGCCGATGCAACTCTCCCGTAACCCGTCTGTCCGTCTGGGGTAATTGATGGCTTGGAAGCGCTACGCTGGATACGTGCTACTTCGACCGTGTCCAAGCACGTTTGGGCACGAGAGTCATGACTCAAGTGCTTTCTTTATTGGCTTGTCAAGTGAATGAGATGCATGCATCACCAGAGCTTATAAGTGAGGTTGAAGCGTACCTCCAACAACAATTGTGAACTCGTCGCCCTTTAATTCATCATTCGCGGTCGGTTTATTGATGTGCGCGGCCAATTCACGTTGCATTGTTCGATTTATTGGCGGTTGTTAGCAAGCTGGTCCCCCGCATTACAGGACCCGTTGTGAGCCTATCGTAGCCTCACTTGTCATGGGGGTCTTCGGCTTGAACATTCACAAAGTTATCGGTTGTAGCAAGACTCATGTAGCAAGGTCCTGAAGTCGTCGTATGAGCGATTTGGCTTGCCAATAACATGAGGATTGCGCGGGAGAAAGCGATAGAGCGTTGAGCGGCTAGAGCTGAGTGTAAGGATCGGTTTGCGAAAGGATAATTGAAGAGCAAGGCAAGGCAAATGATTTGCTCGGTTGCGTGCCTGGGCACCTTTTGGCCAGGGACTTTACCGCCCCCAAACTAAAGACTCGAGCACGAATTGAGGGAAACTCTGAATGTTACCTCTTAAAATTTCTCTCTCTCTCTCTTGCCTCATCTCTCTCCGGCAAACTCATTCGGTAGCACCATTGTGCAGGCTTCAATCCAAGAAGCTCTCAGCGTCTTGTATTGAGGTATGTACCCCTGTCCCTCGAAGCAAACAAGCCATCTTGAATGGCTGGGGCTTGGGTAAGCTCTTGTTTTGGAACCTTTGCTAACCTCAACTCAGAAACACCATTGGGCGTCCTACTTTAGCCATCCAGTTACCAAGAGTGTTGACAAGACAGCAAGATGCATTTAAGACAGTTCACCGGTCCTTTCGCTGTGCTTGTCCGTTACCATCAATCATCGCCAGCTGGCCCCGCTGACATGTCGTTGCAAAGAACAATGTCCAAGCGCCCCATGTTCTCATGGCACTCTTAGCACTTTCTATGACACTTACTTGTATTGCCTATGACCAGCTCCCTATCCAGTCCGTGAGGAGCGATGCTAATTAAGTCAAATTGTTGGAACAGCCATCATAATCGCAGGCTGCACGAGCAACAATCTCAGTAACGTCTATCTACTCTCGGTTTCATATACAGAGAGCGCCACGCCACATGCTGCGGATAGCGCTGAGACGAATGGCAATATCTCGTCTGTTTTCTCCTCCACTGTGGGCAATGGCACGACACTGGACGTACGCGCTGGGTATCTAGGAATGTGTCTCTCGACCATCGCCGGCAGTTGGACCTGCTCCAGAAGTCCCCGGCATCTCGCTTCACTTGTTTCAGATAGCAGTTCGAGTACTTCAGCGTCGTCGGATCCGCTGAACCTCATTTACGTCGCCGAGAAATTTAGGGATGAGGTCGTTTTTGAGGAATTACTGTACGTTTTGATGCTTGATTCTGTACCTTCTTGGATTCTCTATGTGTTCTCATACAGCTCGCAGATATATCTCGATTGCGCTCTCAGTGCTCTGCTTTGTCCTGCTCTCAACACTGCCAAGATGGCAGGAGGAGTTTGATTCCGAAGGAAGTGAGAGGGAGGTTAAGCCATTCCCGTCCAGACCAGTTAGCTTGGCTGCTGTAGCTTGTGCGCTGGTGGCTTTTCTCATCAGCCTCATGAGCATCTTCTGGCAGCATTTATCAGGCTCTGCCGCGGGCACCATGGTCAAGGTGCTAACATACGGAGCGACTACAAGCCATGTCGGAGTTACAGCCATGGCCTTGGGGTGGGTCTCAGTCTTGCTCCTGATGACAACGACTATAACAATCGTCGTTATTATTCTAAGAATTCGTGTCCTGGCGGCCCTGGCAGATTAGCTTCTTAGTTAGCTTCTCATTTGATAATGATTTTAAGGAGATAAATGTTGATAGATAATTGAAGGAAGAGTGATGAAAAGTCGAAGGACTTAACTGACTTTAAACTAGTCATCCAGAATTTCACTGGAAACAGTACTATTTGTTTCAGAAGATGTGTCCGCATGAGGTACAAGAAGCTCGGTGATACCATAGTACGCCACCACTGCCCCAAAAGCCATAAGTACGAAGATAGACACAGCAGCTTGAATCCCAGACGCTATTGTCGATGTCCAGATCGGTATCAGAATGACTAACGACGCGATGAGAGCCCCTGCGATATGATACAATGGGCCGTGCATCCTGTTTTGCGCGGCCTTCGCCCATTTAGCGATCCTATCAACATTGAAGGCGATGATAATAAAAGGTATAGATATGGCCAAGCCAATGGAAACTTTTGTTCAAAGAAGTCAGCTAATATTGAACGGTGGCCGAAAGAAGCAAACTGGATCATCGTTGCTTACAGAGATATTTGTTCAAATAGTCAAATGGAATTCTGCCGTCCGCGTCTAATGGGAACCCGTTCGTATTGATGGCGAAGAATGCGGCCATAAAGGAAATTGGCAGCTTCTAAAGTTAATACTAATACCAAGAAGAATCCAAAAGATTGAAGTCCTTACAAAGACAATTGTAACCACGGTGAAGACGATGACAGTCTTGCCTTGCCTGGCTGTATCCTTGGCTGATTCTCTGGCATAAAAAGCCTCAGCCAAGCTAGCTTGCTTCTGCTTCAAGTCGATGAGGCGATGTAGCTAGAGGCCTTTAATGCCCTTGTTCGCATATATGCAAATAGAAGATCTTACCGCTTTGTCGGCTTTTTTTGCTGACTTCTCCATCTGATCTATCCATAAAAGATGATTCTCAAGAGTTTTCGTCTCAACCGGTATTGGCGTTTCTTTAGCTACTCCCTTGAGTGTCTTATTCATTTCTTCAACCACAGCTTTTTGGGAATTCAGAACGGTTTTCAAAATGTGCAGCTCGTCGAGAATATCATCAACCTCAATCAAAAGTTCTGTTTCGTCACTGATGTCCATCACTCCGTTTGTTGATACCATCTTCCTAAACTCTTTAAGATAATTGACCGTCTTGTCGTTCTATAGTGATCGTCAGCAGGCATGGTTGAAAACATAAAGTAGGATGCAAGTGAGTCAGCCTTACTACTATGCTGATTGACCTTTCAAAATACTCAAAGAATTGGAAATCCTCTGGTACATGGTTCTGGTCAAAGATGTCGATGCAACAGGTCGTGACCAGACTGGCCATGTCGTAAACTGTGGTAATTGTACCTTTCTCTTGTAGTGGCGAGAATTGTTTCAAAAGACGTTGATTTATTTTCCCCGAGATACTCATTGGGTCGTCCCAATTGAGTTCTGGCCACTTTGGTGGTACATTCGGTAGAGGAGGATTGATACGCGGACCCTGCTGCTGTGGGTTTCCATCCATTATTGAGGCCCTTGGTGGATCTTCCGTAGTGTTGAGCTGCCGTATTGGGGCTTGAGGTCTAGGGAAAAACGATGGTAACCCAAACCCTCCCCTGCGAGGAGCCGGTGCAGGTTTCTCATCCGGACTTTGTAACCACGCGTTCCATCGGAGCGGACAGCATGTGACTATTGTGTCTGTACAAGAATTAGAGGCCAACAACTTAGGCTATATAGGCAAAATCCTGCCCAATGAAGCGCCATACCATCTCCTAGAACCCATAGCCATAATTGATCGACCACTACAAGATTGAGAGTCAGTAATTGCCTCTTGATGACAGTAACAGAGCAGGAAAAGCCTCAGTAGATGTGTCTTGAGAGAAGGTGTCCAGTTCTGAAATGTGTCCTTGTCTACAGTACTCTAAACAGGGAGATAACAGGTAGAAGTAAACTCTAGAGGTTGCTCACTGAACATCTTGGCATCGATTCCGCCTTGGTAGTTCTTGGTGTATCGATACACGACCTGATCATCATCACGTTTAGTTGTGCTTTGGAGGTCAGTATAGAAATACTGATCTAGGGTGAGTCGTAGTTGAAGGCTCAACCTTCCCATTTGCCCTTGATTATAATAACCTCGAATGAGATGCTCGTTGAGATTGCGTGAAGGGAAAAGCGCTTTGGGTGTCTTCTTTTTTTCCATTGGTCGTTTCTTGGATTGAGAGATTGGCCAAGGTGGTTGTCTATTACCGGGTCCTTCATGAATCACCGGTGACCGTTCCCTTTGCAGTTGCCCGGATTGCTGATAGACCAGACATGTCAGTCTTCGTTTTGTCCCAATAGCTTGAAATCTTATCATACCTCAACATCTGGACCTGTTTTGTGAGACGTGTCAGCGATGGATTCGCCACCC